TTTTTCCTCAAACCTTTCCAGGGATTATTTCAACAGCAGTAGACATGATAAGGCCCTAGACCCACAAATAGGGACATATCTTGAACACAGCTCTAATACAACCTTTGAAAACAAAGGGATTTACAGTAATAATTGTTCGTTTAAGAATGTTTTAAATACTAATAGCATATTCTCGGGATTTCCTTCATCTCTTCACAAATAGTGTTCTGTATATTTGATATTAATTTCAGTCTATTTTCTACTTATATTAGTACATATGTGTACACTATGTGGATGTCTCTCACATGTCAACTTTGCATGTTATTTTAATTTCCCCTGGTATATCTATGTAACACCAACACCAGAAAAAATATCTCAAATGTTAGGCAGTATTCCTACTCTAATTTTATAATATTTTATATAGCTTACATATAACATTTTTCTGTTCACTAAAGTTTTGATAGGTGCTGGAGAGATGGCTCAGCGGTTGAGTGCTTATGCTCTTACGAAGAACCTGGGTTCAGTTCCCAGCACACACATGGCAGCTCACCACTGTCTGTAACTTCAGTTCAGAGGATCTGATGTCCTCTTCTGTTCACACATGGGCTCCTGCACACATGTGGTGCATAGACATACACTCAGGTACCACGTATACAGAAAACAGGTTTTTTTTTATAAAAGAGTATTTGTATAATGGAGAAAATACAGAAATTAGATAAAAATCCAATAAAAGAGCCCCTATAGTTCCTTCATAAACGTCATTTGTTTACATTCTTTGAGCTGTGTCTATAGAGTGGTTACTGTGTTTGGCACACACATTTCCTAACTACACGCTGACTTGTATTTACTGATGCCACAGTGACATATTCACCTGCTTTCAAATTTAGGATGCTGTTGAAGCATTATATGTTCGCATTTAGGTTTGTGCTAATGATAAGCTTTGCTCATTGGTTTTTGCCTTGCTCATTTTACTACCCATTTACAGGATTCATATGTAATGAACCAGTTTAGGTGTGTGTTTGGCAGTTGGATACCACTGTCTTGGAAGACTGATCTGTTAAAGAACCAAGCATCTTAAGTGCTTACTTGTCAGAGGTGAAGGAATTGTATTTTAAGTATTATGGATTTTAAATTAATAAAAAAAAACTTATGTTTAAATTCCTACCTGGAACTGATATCTAACATATTGGATAGTGCAATTCCAAAGTAAATCAGTATTTTGGCCTCATCTTCAACTGTGAGGTTTATAGGACACTTAGCTGTGACCACGCTTCTCTCCTCCGAATAACATTTTTTAGATTTTTAGCTCACCGTTATGTTTACTGCCCTCCCACAAAACTAGTCATCATCATCATGACTCTGTGCATCAATATTTATTTCACTTACAAATAGTTTTGTAAATTTTGAGTATGAAGCTACTTTCTTCTGAGTAAAATTGTTAGTAGCCCCTTCAGAGACAAAAATCTCAGGTGTTTTTTTTTCTTCGTGTGTGAAGATAGGCTCACTCAACTCTTCTACAGTGAATCATATTTTAGCTGGGTTATCAAACAACATTTGTACTTGTCTTTGATTGTTTATCAGGTTATTGATTAACTTTTAATGATTCCATCCCCTGTGTATATTTACTTTGATCCCGTTTGCTCTCACTACCTTCTCTTGTCTCCCTCCCATCCCACTGGACTCTTTCTGCTTCCCACCTAATTCCCGTACTATGTGTGTGCATGCATGTGTTCACGCTTGCGTGTGCACACTACTGAGTTGAACTAGGGCTAGATAAATGAGCAAAGATGGGGTTATTTACCATAGCATTGGCAATTTATCAGTTGCTACACTGAAAAAATGTCTTGCCCTCTGTCCTGATTGGTTTTGTTGTTGTTGTTTTGTTTTGCTTTGTTTTTTGTTTGTCGGTTTGACACTTGTCATTAGGGAAGAGGGAACATACACAAGGTTGGCCTGTATGCTATTATATGAGGGCATTTCCTTCCTTAATGATTAATACAGGAGGGCTCAACACACTGGGGGAGGTATTGCCTCAGAATGTGTTTCTGGATGGTAGAAGAAAACAGGCTGTGTAAACCACAGTGCAGCTGGTAAGCATTCTTCCATGGTCTCTGCTGCAGTTCTTGTATCTAGGATCCTGCCTTGAGTTCCTGCCCTGACTTCTGTCAGTGATGGAATGGGACTTGAGAATTGTAAGATGAAATAAAACCTTTCTTTCCAAGTTGATTTGGTCATGACATTTTATCATAGCAATAGAAACCCAAAGTAAAACACCCTTCTTCCTATTAAAATGATGGGTATTATCGTGTCTGCTTTGGATCTCATAAATGTGGAGACTCAGGCTTTTAGGGCAAATGCTGTGCTCGGCACTGTATAATAAATAGTGTACAGGTGAAGGTGAAGGTTCAAATATGTTTACCCTTTAGGGAACTGGAAGGGTGAAGAAAAAAGTGAATGCAAACAGAAGTTGAATTTTTATATCACTAGATATAAATTTTTATATCACTAGAGTAGCTGAAGTTCAAATATGTTTGTTAACAATTAAAGATAATCAGTAGATCAAAGTTAATATCCAGCACTCCCTAGACAAGATATGATGTAAAGGGATCCACAGAAAGGCACAGAGAAACACAGTCTGAGTAAAAATGAAGAACTGGAAAGCACCAGGGATAAATTAAGACATGCTTAAAACCACATGAGTGGAGGAAATCGATTCACCATTTTAAAGACTTGTATTTATTTTATAAAAGTAAAATTTAAAAAATCAAATTAAATAAAAGGGGAAATTTTATTAAGTTGCTTAAAAATGAAATCTTCCATATAAAATTAATGGTTCTTGATCAAAATATATCTGAGAAATAATAATTGAAGTAGAGGGATGAAATAGATCGTTAAAGGAATGTTCCATGGGAAAAGTCCATGAAACGAAATCAAGTTTAATTTGATTAATATATGTCTACAAATATTTATTTGTTTTCATTTTATGTGTGTGGGTGCTTTGCCTAAACCACTGCTTCTCAACCTGTGGGTCACAGCTCCTGGGGGTGAAATGGCCCTTTCGCCGGAATCACCTAAGGCCATGTGCATAGCGGATGTTTACATTATGATTCATAACAGCAGAAAATTACAGTTATGAAGTATCAACGAAAATAATTTATGGTTGAGGGCACCACAACATGGGGAATTGTATTGGGGGAGCGCTCATAATGTAGGTAGTAAGGTTGGCCTAAATCCATCTTTACTTCACATGCATGCAATGTCCACAGAGACCAGAAGAGGGCATCAGATCTCTCTGGAACTGCCCTGTGAGTGCTGGGAACCAAACTGGTCCTCTGAAAGGGCAGAAAGTTATAGTTATCACTGAGTTCTCTCTCCAGTCCCTTACATATTATGTTTTTTTTATTTTTTGAGGGTTTGTGTATAGTTTATTCAGTGAGTTATGGAAGGAAAGGGAAGGAGGGAGGGGGGAGGGGGTGCTGCAGCCATCTCTTCCGAAGAGAGATGGGATCACATATTATGTTTTAAAGAAACAATATATAGTTAAGGATGATATCAGACAAAACCTGCGTGTATGTTGTTCAACTGGGTCTGAGGAAAGAGGGAATAGATTCATTTCTAAGAAATAATACATTTTCTAAAAGACAAGATCTCCTGAGTGAATTGGGACCATGGGGACCATGGGAGAGGGTAGAAGGGGAGAGAAGGGGAAGGAAGGGTAGTGGAGAAAAATATATAGTTCAATAAAAACAATAAAAAAATGAACTAGGAGAAGATTCTGGTCCCACTGCCAGGGATCCTACAAACGGACTAAGCCACACAACTTTCACCCACATGCAGAGGGCTTAGTTAGGTTCCATACAGCTCGCCAGCTGTCAATCTGGAGTCTGTGAGCTCCCACTATCTTGGGTCCACTTTCCCTGTGGATTTCCCTGTCGTGATCTTCGCCCCACCCATGGGAGACTCTATTCTTTCTGAGGAAGGGATGAAGAATGGGGTGGGGGGAGGTAGAGGGGAGCAGGAGGAAGGTAAAGAGGGAGAACTGTGTCTGGCATGTAAAATGAATTTTTAAAAAAAATGTAAAATAAAGGAAAATAGAAAAAAAACTAAGAGTGCAAAAAAGAAATAAGACATTTTCTAAATTATAATCTCTGTGTACAAAATGTTAGCCGTGTTATTAAATGTGCTAACACGTGTTCTGCAGAAGGCACCAGACATACAGAAACAATCACAAGGCTTGTTTGTTCTCACCGATTATGAGTTCAATCTGGTTGTGCAGACTTTGCTGAGCAATTTCTGGGCCTAATATAATTAGCAAACAAGTAAATAAGCCTAAATAAATACCGAAGGAATATTTCATATCTGTGCGATGCTTTGTCTTCCGCGCTCACAAGAAGTTCATGATAACGTAGCCATTGCCTGCTGCAAACCTTTGACAACACAGGGAACAGGACACACTGAAAACCAGTGGTTGTCTACGGAGAAACTTGCTTCTTGGGACTGCATGTTAACGTATCAATCTCTTCCTCCCTCCTCGCCCCTTCCCCCATAAGTGGTGGCACGCAGGGGGCGGGGGTACGTTGCGTGTGTGTGTACGCACTCAGATCATTCAGATAAAGGCCAGAAGACAACCTTGGCTCTCATCCTTAGAAACATCCCCCACCTCCAGACAGGCTAGCCAGCAAGCCCCATGGATACTCTTGTCTCCCCGCTCCCCACCCCAGTACTGTGCACTGATCCCAAGCTAACACCCCTGACATTTCTTACGTGGGCTCTGGAAATCAAACTCAGCTCCTTAGGCTTGCAAGGCAAACACTTTACTAAGTGAACTTTCTCCGCAGCCTGAGAACACATCTCTCTCCTCCGCTTTTCTGCCGTAAATGACGGTGGGAATAGGATGCACACAATGCTACAGAAATGTAGGCAAGAGTGCAGATTTACCCTGTAACCCTGGAAACATTGCTATGCTGTCGTGTGCAGATCCAGCTTTAAAAAAAAAAATCAATGAAGGGCTCTGAGAAATGATCTTATCCAATGTGTACGTTTATTCCTGTAATTTAGGAAATTCTTTTCTGCTCTGCTTTGAGCTGCCCTTTTTCTGATTTTTGTTTAAAGAACGCTGCTGTTCAGAGCCAAGTCTCCTATTGGGGTCTAATCTGAAAGAAAGAAAAATGCTTTTTAAAAAGCCCAGCTTCTTCCTGGTTTGATGGTTGCTAACGTTCCGATATGTCCAGCCAACCATCTGCAACCACAAATTCCCTGCTGAGGAGCTGGCGGGAGGCAGAGGAAGAAAGAGCAGCTCAGGAGTCACTACATGAGCAGAGCTTTGGCAGTCAGGCTGAACTCAGTCAAGAATTCTCTTCAGAAACCAGAGCGAAACAGAACCGTTCCCGATAAGCAAAATTCAAAGCAAGATGTAGCAGTGTTCCGAACAAAGAGATGTGAATTCTCCTTCAGGACAAAGATCTGTGGATGAACTTTTGGAAGATTCCTGCTTTAGCTTCCCTCAGTAAGTGAGCCTCTAAACTGTGGTTATTAGCACTTATGTAATGGGACAAGAAAAGGCATCAAAGTCATGCCAAACGTTTCAGTGGAGGTTACGAGTAAGTCCTTTTGATTTTTTTCAAACCTTTGAGTATTTCATACTGTATGGCTAAATACGCAGTTGGAAAACTAAGAATTTTCCGTTTTGCTGCATGACTGAAGCATTTTTCTAAAAAGCACATACACGGGACCAGGCGAGCGGGTAAGTGGGAAGGAATGTAACTTGTTTGGCTCGTGCTGTTTTCAAAGCTTCTCGAACTGCTTATTCCCCTTCTGTGCGCAGCGCTTTCCAGTTTCACGGCCAGAGGAATGTAAACATCGGGATGCAAGGTTCTGTGAGCTTTGAGCTCTTTTTAACTGACTTGAGAGTTTTAATCAAGAAAACTTAGGGAAATACTCTATTGGCCCTGTTTATCATACTAAATATGCAAAACAGTTTAACTTGTGCAATGCTTGTCGTCCCTGAGTAGCAGGAATACTGTCCAACTGGGAAATTACCAGCTTTTAACAACCAATGTGTTATTTTTCAACTACTCAATTTGCTATTCAAAACAATTGAAGCTAATTTAATATTTTCTTCTCCTAGAGCAAATAGCATTTTGCATGGACATGCACAATGGAATAATTAATTCTTAACAGCCAGGAACAAATAACTTAGTGCATGACGGTTAGATTGTACAACGGTTTTTATCTATGAATATTTTCCTCCATATACATTAACTATCTAAGAAGAATTGGCACTTGAACAACGTATCTTTATGCTTTGGATACCAAGACTTGCTACAGCCTTGATTTCTAATTGAAAATGTGATTTAGTATTAGTTGGAGTTTCCAATTGTCATAGCCTATTGATGATATTATTACTTGGAGGTTATTGATATAAGTGGAAAATCCAAACATTGGAAGCAATATGAAGTTATTTAAAATGTCCTTTTGTGTCCCTTGAACTTAGCTACTTACTATTGACCTGTGGCTTTTTTTCAGTGGTTTTTGTAAGAGTTTTTCAGACTTCAGTTGCGAAAGGTCAGTAAAGGGCTGAGTTAATCATTGTCTTGAGTTCGTGACATACAAAACGCCTGTCTTTTCTTTTTGTTTACTTATTTCCTTTGACTCAAATGTTTCATTTCATACTTGACCTCCATCCTTATTTCCCATTTCCCAAGATAATCTTTTAAAATTGTATTTGGTAATGATCTTTTAGCGTTCGGGATCTATCTAGAGATATGTATTGCTCATGGTGTGAGTTCATATAAATTATATCCTTATATAAATCAACCTTCTCTTTTTTAAAAAAAAAAGACTTGGTTGACACCGTATTATTTAGGATTTCTTATGTTGAGCCGTGGGTATCAATCCAATGCTTCTGAGTCCCACAGAGTTCTGTTTGAATAGTGTGTGTGAAGGCGTGTTCTGTAACACCCTGTCATGGTGATCTACATCTGGAAGAATCTGAGTACAGGTCCCTGGTGAAGCCACGCCTCGGCATACAGACTCAGGAACAGAACTGATTGATAGTGGGGTTCTGCTGAATAGTAAATAGTAATTAGTAGTAACTACTGGTAATTAATAATAACTAACTAACTGACAGGGTAACAGGAGACCTCCACCAGCCTATGCAAAGCTTGGACAGGGTGCTTACACACATCATTAGAAATGGGCTAGTCCAGGTGCGAGAATTGGCCTGTAAGGGCTAGAGTTCATGGGCCAAGCAGTTCTTTAAATGAAAAAAAAAAAAAAAAAAAAAGCTTGGACAGCTTAGCTGCCAAGTTTTGTGGGGGCAGCACGTGACATTATTATTAGTCTCTGAAAAGCCATTCCATTGAAGAAAAGACTCTTATTTTTTTTCAGTAGATTTTGCCACCTCCTCTTTTTTCCTTCCTTTCCTCTGTCTATATTTGGCGCCCTGCTTCTGTAGGCACATAATTGGAAACAGCTGCTCAAATGTTTCCTTTTAGTTTGATTGCACAATGCTTTCGGTTTCAGACTTCCACGTTTGCCTCCTTTACATCCTTTAGAACAATAAACAAGCGGAAATGAGGAAGAGACACTTGAGAGTGGGTCAGCAAACGTGGGCTCTTCTCTGCAAGAACTGGCGGAAGAAGGGCAGGATGAGAAGAGACACGGCGATGGTACGGCTGAGAATCTCTGCGCTCTCATATTTGGAAAAGAAAACAGTATTTTCTCAGTGATAGCCACATGGTGATTAGTCAATGATTTTTTATATAACCCAGCTAGAATTTACAGGCTAGAATTTTTCAAGTCCTGCGTTTTACTACTATTTTTTTTCACATAAAAAATTTGAATATGTAACATTAAATACCTTACTAGAGATATTTTAAAACAACTCATATTCAGACATGCCCTATAAAATGAAGCTATACCTTTATACAACAGAAATAATAATTGACATCTGTTTTAATTTCGGTCTCATGAGGGCAGAGACACTGAAGTTCAGAGCATCATCAAAGAAGCAAACTTCAATCCGTAATTGCTTCAGAGTGTAACCTGAGGTTAAGAGAAATGAGAAAAGCCTTTCACAAAGAACTCCCATTGGCACTCTCCCCGTTCCCTACAACTCCACGCCCAAAACAAATGTCAGAGCTATCTGTGACATCTACAGGACAAGAATAATTCACTTGCCAGGCGGTGGTGGCGCACGCCTTTAATCCCAGCACTCGGGAGGCAGAGGCAGGCGGATCTCTGTGAGTTCGAGGCCAGCCTGGTCTACAAGAGCTAGTTCCAGGACAGGAACCAAAAGCTACGGAAAACCCTGTCTCGAAAATCAAATAAAAATAATAATAATTCACTTATTGAGATTTATACTAGTGTGTATTCTCAAACACAGACGGAAGCAAGCTTAATGTTTAGACATTAACGTGGATAAACGTCTCATGAAAAGGTTATTTTAAGGAAAGGACTTTAGGTTAAATATATACAGAACCGCAGGAGCATGAAACACAGCAGATACTTGAAAAGTACTTATTGTGTATTACCATGTATATATGAAAGTGTGATGACATATACAAAATGAAAGGTTGCGGTCATGTCTAAATAGTAACAAAGATAGGGCACAGTGCTGTAGATGGTGTGATTAGCAAAGTGAGAACATAGGGTGTGTAATAATATACTGCTGATTTTTCTTCGGTTTGGAAAGATTCAACCCACGTGATTTTGTCAAAAAGCGTCAGGCTAGTGATAAGTAATGAGCTTTGTTTAACCACTCCACCATGTGAGCATGTGTTGAAATATGTTGTACACATAAACAAGTATAACTTTTATTGTTTAAAAATAAAACGCCTGCATAATTTAAAATATCATAAAAATTTAATGGATTTTTAAAAGATGATCATATTTTGCCGGGGAAAAAAGATACTCACCACAAAGAAATTATAAAACTAGAAAGATACCTATATAGCTATCCTGTCCTTCTCAGCAAGCACACTGTAGCTATAAGGCGCAGCGACAGCAACAGAATCAAAATCATATTTGGGTCTCTCTTTTTTATTTTTATTTTTACTTTTGGTTTTTCCTGGAACTAGCTCTGGTAGACCAGGCTGGCCTTGAACTCATAGAGATCCGCCTGCCTCTGCCTCTGCAACGCTGGGATTAGAGGCATGCGCCACCACTGCCCAGCTGGGCCTTTATTTTTATTGTACTAGTACTCTTTTTGTTTTAACAATGATATATATTTTCTGTAGAATTAATCATAAACACAAATTAAAGTCACTCATTAAAAGAATTAGGAAATTAATGTTGTATTCTATGAACAGTGTGTGTATTCATCCAAGAAACATTTGATGAATGTTTGGATTGTCAATGAATAAAATATTCAAGAGCTTGAAGGATAAAGCAAAGGTCATGTGGATATTAATATAAAAGTTGAGAACCTATTTTAAGTACTTGTTACACTTCCAAACGTTTGGTCTTTTAAATTCTATGCATGCATACATGTACATGCATACACATAGCTAAAATTGTGTATGATGGATGTGGTATACCATGAGAAAAGAACAAATAAATCCTTTCTTATAACTGACAGTTTCATGCATTTATATAATGATTTTTAGTTGCTTTTGACCATCACCTGTTTCACTAGAATCCTTCGTCTCCCAGGTGCCCATTCTTCTTTCATGTTTCGCTGTGTGACTGTGTGTGAGCGACCGAGTTTAATTAGAGTTCCCTCTTTGAGTCAAACTAAGACGGCAAAATGAATTCTTTGCACTGGGCTTCACACATGGTCTGTCGTGTTTACAGTTCTAGAACGCAGTGACCGTGATAAAGAACATTAAAATTCTTTTGGTGAGCATTATTTTACTGCCTCTTCCATGTGTAGAGAGCTGAAGAACAAGATAAGGCCGTGCTTCTGTTGAGGGAAGTACTTACCTATTCCATGCCACCCTCCCTTCAAAAACCAGCGAGTGGTCCATTTTTTATGGTCATGTGGCCTCTGACAAGACTTATTAGAGGTGACAAAGCATCTGGCCTTGCATTGTTGAATGAGGAAACACTTCCAATTATAATAGGAACTGCTTGTCCCAACCCTGTCTTGGTGAACAATGCTCCTGTCACAAAATGTGCAGATGAAAGAGCCAAGTAGGAGCTGGAGAGCTGGCTCAGCGGTTCAGAGCACTGGCTGCTTGGGCAGGGGATCTGGGTTTGATTCCCAGCACCCACACAGTGACTCACAGTCATCTGTTACCTCCTGATGCCCTCTTCCGTCCACTGGACATAAATTAAATGGATCTTTGGAGGACAAAAGTAAAATCAATTACTTTAAAATGGAAGAGAACAAATGGAGCAGCAGCTGTATGACAGGATGACGCCGTTTTAGTTGTTCGTGGGAGAAAGCCTGATGTTCTTTCTTTTCTCTTGTTACTATGTAGGAATGGTTTTTCTCATTTCTTCTAATATTTCTTACATATCAACTGTCCTCCGATTTACATCAAGTTCATGACGCTCCTCAGATTCCTGAAGTGGATCTAGGACGTGTTGATGATTTTAATGATTCTAACTATATGATTGCATTTGCTCCCGAGACTAAAACCGTCTACGAGATAATGAACAAAGTGGCATCGGCTTCCTTCATGAAAGGTATGTTCTGTGGCAGTTCATGGAACCATTTCTTTACTTTTATTATTATACTCCAATTTATTTTAGGATTTTCTTGAAAAAAGGTGTTAAATGTTGGCGTTTCTAAAGTTGATTAACAACATGGATGGGTATTACTTTCTGATATTAAGGAGGATATCTTCCTCCAGTAATACCTTTGAGCAACTGTACTTCAAAGAGAATTAATATTCCTTATCAAGTATATCAAAATGAGATGAGTCTTGGGTTATTTAAGTGTAAAACAAGACCCTGAATCTATTCTCCTTTGTTTAGCTGTTTTTTTTAATCATTATCCATAAAAACTTGTAATCAACATGCTAAACAAAAACAAACATTCATGAACCATTTTTTAGGAATGTGGGCATAGTTTTCAAGGCTACTACCTGCTTATTGGTAGTACTGATAATCTTATGGGGATTCAAAGAAAGTTTGGGATTATAGTCAAGTCATGACTAGAGTATTCTGTGAGGCTGGATCATCTCAGGCAGCAGTCTTGAGGCTGTTCTGGATGTAGAACTCAGAGGAAACTGCAACAGAGGTGCTCTGAAATGTTGGATCACCTGGGCCATCTGTTACTATTGTAGATTTTTCGGGGGGGAGGGTCTTCCTGGATCAAACCTTATTTTTCTTAATCCAGAATGAATCTACAGCCTCCCATTTCCTGTAGAAACAAAAGCAAGATCTCTTCTCCAAAGTAATACATCTTTTGGCTTAAAATTTTAAGTCAAGGCATTTTCAAAATACAGGTTGGATTAATCCAGCAGCATTTATAATCAATGGTCTTTTAGCAGCTGTTGCTCCTTCCTCAGCAGTCAAAGAATTCAAAGACAACACAATAACATACAGTATCCAGCGTCTCTGTGTATTTTCCATCTTTATGTGGGGTTTTTAACTCTATTTTTTATTTTTATTTTTATTTTTTTTAAGACAGAGTTTCTCTCTGTATCTTTGGTTTTCCTAGAACTCACTCTATAGATTAGGCTGGCCTTGAACTCATAGAGATCCACCTGCCTCTGCTACCCAAGTACTGAGATTAAAGTCATGCACCACCATACCCAACTACTCTATTTTTTTAGGACTTTCTCTATCCTTTTTCTTTTCTATCTAAAGCCTACGTATATTTTTTAAAAACATTGTAAACTAGAGTTTTTTCCCTTCTGAATCTGTCTTTACTGTATATCTCTATCTTTTTCTGATCACACGAGTCTTTAATCTGCTAAACGATGTGACTAGGGAAGAATTAACTCAAACGTAAAACGGTCTCAAGTCTCTTGAATCTGGTACGCTGCCATTGAACTACATAGGAATTTTACTGAACTATTCCATTTCTTCACATGGCAGGAAGAAGAATTGTGGCATGTCCTGACGAAACATGTATGAGCGAACTAGATTTAAATTACTCGACAGACGCAGTGAGAGTCATCTTCAAGGATACATTCTCATATCATTTGAAATTTTCATGGGGTCAGAGGATCCCACAAGTAAAAGAACACAGAGACCATTCAGGTAACTTTGCCATTAGGAAAAATATATTAATGTAGATATTGCTATTATGTCATTAGACCCAAGGGACACATACAGAAGAAGTTAGATGAACACCATAACCCCCATGATAATTTCCAGTGTCCAATGGATTGATCATTATTAAACAAAACCTCTGTTTTTAAAAATATAATTTTATTGATATATATATATATATTCCTTGCATATAGTGATGGATTTATATTCAATCAAGCCTGTTGTGTACTTTGACCATATTTACCCCACCCTCTCCCATTTCTCCTCTCTCCCTCCTATTATTTTTATTTGGTCTTGCTTCTACAATCATGTCATTCATGTATATGTATGTATGGTTTTATGTATTTATAGAAAATCTTGGTTCTATAAATGAGAGGTAATGTCATAATTTGTCCTGAGTTTAACTCATTTTGTTTAATATGATGACCTCCCATTTCATTCATTTTCCTGCATACTACATCAATTCTTTTTCTTTATGGCTGAATAGAACTTCATTGTAAGTATAAGTATATTTGCCCATCTGTTGATAGATAAGACAGGCTCTATACCTGACTAGGATGAATAGTGCTACACTAAACATAGGCGTTCAAGCATCTCTACTGTATGTAGACCCAGAGTCCTGGCATAAACTCCAGCTTGATAGATATTTTATAAGTCACAGCTCCACTTTTATTATTTTTAGGAGCCTCCATGCTTATTTGAAAATTATACTTTTAAATTCTTTATTCCACTATGAACTTAAAGCCTTCCTGTGAGCCTATGACCAGCCTGAACTACAGAATGAGATCCTGTCTTGAGGAAACCCAAAAGTTGCACGTCATTCTTTCTGTTCTTTGATATATTAAAACTTCAACAAATTGGCTTAAGTTATCCCCACTCATTTAAAAATAGCTCAGTGTTTTCTGTGTTAGTGAGTCTACTCTTTGTTTTTCTGGCACAAACAACAGAAGGCCCAAACATTTTAAAGTTGAAATAACTATAAAATAGCAGGAAAAATAATCAAGAACTTACCTTAAAGAACGTCGACAAAGCAGTCTTGTATGTCCTTTTTGGTCATGCTCTACAACCCGAACCAATATGCCTTACCACATGCTGTCCTATTATAGATTTTAAAGACATTTTGGAGAATGACAGATTTTTATTTGCCCCATAACTGGTACTGTCTGGTCGCATAACAGTGGTTGTGTCTTCTTTTCTTGAAGCTCCCTGCGAAACAATGGATGACAAAATAACTTGTAGAAATTCAATCTTCTGGGAGAAAGGGTTTGTAGCCTTCCAAGCTGCCATTAACGCTGGCATCATAGAGGTGAGTACTAAGTTAATGGAAACTAGGTGCATTGTATACTGAATTTTGATAGGTGGCGATATGGATTGTCTTACTTTGTATTTTATTTGCTTTTAGCCACTAAGCATAGTAATGACAGACAGCTTCTTTTCCAGACTGTAGTGTCAAGATACTGGTGACTTGAAAATATGCACAGTATGGGTACTTTTAAGCAGAGATCCTGGTGATACAGAGTTAAAAGTATAGATATGCGGTCATTAGGAGGGCTTTAGGGTCCATTGTGGGGTAGTAAATCGTGTGCTGCATAAACAATAAAACAGGAGATAATCTGACTAGAAGCCCCAGAGAAGATCTAGCTTGAAGTGTTATTCCAGTTGGTTTTAAAAACAATGGTAATTTTTTTCACTGAAAGACTTAAAGTAGAATCTTGGAAACCAACCACTACAAGCTAATGCCTTCTTACAGACTGAAGAAAAGAGCCCAAGGCTGCATTGAGATTACTGATATCATAATTTGTTCATTGGTGTCTCTCTTTAGATTACAACAAATCACTCAGTGATGGAAGAGCTGATGTCAGTTATTGGGTCACACATGAAGATACTACCTTTCATTTCCCAGGGAGGAGTTGCAACTGATTTTTTAATTTTCTTCTGTGTTATATCCTTTTCTTCATTTATATACTATTTATCCATCAACATTACCCAAGAAAGGCAATACATTACAACACTGATGGCAACGATGGGACTTCGGGAGTCTGCTTTCTGGTAAATCGCTTGTCTGTAATACACCAATCGGCATGTTAACTAAGGGAACTCCCTAGGTTTGTTTATGTCATACTTAGTCTTTAGTCTTGATTCTTTACTAAGCTAGGGCATATGGATGCTTGAAACACATGGACTTACATACCCAGTAACTGGAATTTTCCGTATTTCTTTGACTTAAAGAAAGCCTAAGGGGCTCCTATCTTCAGGACACTGACGACACAGGGACTCTCAGTTATTAGCTTCTGTGTCTATGTGAACTGACATATATGAGAAGTTATGAGTCCTTTAGGGAAAATGAAATATGTATTTTGGATACTGTGTTAAATGAAATATGTATTTCGGATACTATGTTAAAGGTGATGACGATTTGACCCCACTTTACATGGGCCATGGAAGAGAAAGCTAGTATGTCTTGAGCTTTCCTTAGCAGAGACAAGAAAGCAAGCAGTTAGGGCAGTGACCGGCCCCTTGGGAAGCCGCAGGCTGTCTTCATCTCAGCCCTTAGTAGCTTCCACCTTGGGTGTGTGACTTAAACTATGTAAACCCCAGTTTTCTTTCCTGTGAAGCGCCAGTCATAGTTCTACTTCTTGCTGGCAGCAGGATTAAATACAATGTACTTAGAGTGCTTTCCGCGGAAGTTGAGAGACATTAAATGCTCAATGTTAGATATTAGCTGTGGAAGTGTGGAAGTGCATCACAAGAGAACAGAAGATGTAACTTAGGAAACTGAGGACCCAATAGTTAGTGACAAGATTTCCAAATAAGATTAGCCAAGTGATCCATTAGAGATAGGTAGAGAGGTAGGAAAGAACAGAGAGTCAGAAAGCAGTGATTTGAATGTCGAATTTGCCTTTTACGAACCGACCAGTATTTTCAGTGTTGAAGATGGTATGGAGATTATGCACAGTGTCCAAAGAGAAACCCTGCTGAGTAGGAAGACTACACCTTTTCCAGGCTGACTTGAGCCGAATTTGTTATTTTTTTTTTCTAAGATATTGTTCACTATACTAGTGTGGAAAGAAAGAAGATAGCGGCTCGAGAGAGAGATCAAGGGTGAAAAGCACAGGCACTCTTGAGGGTTTGCTTCTCAGTTTGCTTCCCGGCATCCCACACTGAAGCATACAACTGCCTGTAACTGCAGGTCAGGGGACCCCACAACTGCCTGTAACTACAAGTCAGTCAGGGGACCCCACAACTGCCTGTAACTGCAGGTCAGTCAGGGGACCCCACAACTGCCTGTAACTACAAGTCAGTCAGGGGACCCCACAACTGCCTGTAACTACAAGTCAGTCAGGGGACCCCACAACTGCCTGTAACCACAAGTCAGTCAGGGGACCCCACAACTGCCTGTAACTACAAGTCAGGGGACCTTACAACTGTCTTTACTTACAAGTCAGGGGACCTTACAACTGTCTTTAACTACAGATCAGGTCCAGAGGAGCTTGCATCTGCCTGTAACTACAGGTTCAGGGGAGCTTGCAGCTGATGTTTCTGGTCTCCATAAGCAAACACCCACGTGCACATGCTCTCCCCCACACCCACCCACAGAGATGCACATATACAGAGTGCAAAATAAAATATATCTTTCAAAAAGGGATGGCAGGTTTGATACAATGCAAGGTTTTTGTCCCTTTGTGTACTAAAATTATGCCCACGATATTGAAGAGAATTTTTTTTACCAGATTTTAAAAGGTATTGAAATCTATGAAGAGCCAGTAGAAGATAATATATTTAAAAAAATCTAGTGAGGAGAGATTAAAACTTTTAGGGCTTTTCTTCCTCCTTGAAGGAAAGAAATATTTTATTCGAATAAAATTAAGAATGTAATCCATCATATAAATAAGTTGAAAGAAAAAAAACTATATGATCATTTCATTAGATGCTGAAAAAGCATTTGACAAAATCCAACACCCCTTCATGATAAAGGTCTTGGAGAGACCAGGGATACAAGGAAAATATTTAAATATAATAAAAGCAATATATAGCAAGCCAACAGTCAGTATCAAATTAAATGGAGAGAAATTAAGAAGTCTGTAGAAGGCAGGCAGATTAAAACTGGTCCTGAACTTGATAGGATGTTCTGATATAAATGAAAGGAAACTAGCTGTCCACTGTGGGCCTGTCACCATGTTATATCCACAAAATACCCGACTAATTTAATTCTCAATCTTTCCCTAGAGAGGAAATTGAAATGTAAGAGAATTAAACAATTGCTTCCTCACATATTAAGTTGTAATGTAATAGAGGGAATTTGATGCCAAGTCTGTGACATTACTGGACCCTATGGTTGGGCCTCCTCTGTCCTTGGCATCAAAAGTAAATACACCTCTTCATATCCACTTACCTGGCTGTATTCTCCATAGAGATGCTCTGTGTATTCTTGCTCTGGATCATCTATACCAGCAGCTGACCAAGTACTTTTATGCAGGTTGTAAAGTAGGAGTGGCTTGTCTGAGAAGAAAAGATAAAAGAGAGCAGTAATCACATAGAGGATATAAAAATCTATTGGAAACTCAAATGTCTATAAATACATCTTCATTGGGAGATAGCCATATATTGGGCAGAGACTGCGTGTAATTGCTCTTGCTCCGCGAAGGCAGCATTGATGGCGACAAGGGCTACTTGGCTTGCAAAGCCTAAAATGTGATCAGTATGTCTCCAATGCCCACGCTGTGTCCCTGACTTCCTTATGAAAGAAGGCGAACAGAACTGAAAAAGCAGCAGCGATTCTCTCTTAAGCCCTCCCTAGAAGCCTTTGATCCTGAGACTTGAGAACGATGACTTTCTTACTGTCCAGTTCATGTCCTTCTGTTTGCACGCAGCTGCTGTGTTAGTTTCATTCTGTTGCTGGGATAAGCCAAAAGCTACCCGACGGAGGAAAGGATTTACTTGGATTATACTTCCCTGGTCAGAGACCATCATTGAGGGAAGGCACAGTAAGAACTCAGGGGCAGGAACCTTGGAAGAGTGCTACCTTGCGGGCTTGCTCTCTGGCTTCTGCTTAGCTGACTTTTTCATGCAGGACTACCTGCCTGAGGACTGGGCCCTTCTGCATCATTCAGTGAGCCCATGCCTCCCAGACATGCCCACAGACCAAGCTGGTCTAGGCAGTTCTGCAACTGAGGTGTCTCTCTTGCCAGATGACTCTAGGTTCTACCAAACTGACAATGTTTACGAGATCAGCTATTTGCTGTATGCACTTGCTGATTTATTATCTACTTTATAGAATATGAGCTTTAAGATGAGGATGTTTTATGAACTGTTAGGAATTACCCTTTGGGAAGAAACTCTTGATAAGTCACACACGTTTAAGCTAAGTGTATGAAGAGAGTGACCGAGTCATACCATTTGCACTAATCCTGTGTTTCTTGGCCAGGCTTTCCTGGGGTTTGATGTATGCTGGCTTTATCCTTGTCACGGCTACTTTGATGTCTCTTATTATGAAATCTGCCCAGATTTTCGTCTTAACTGGTTTCATGGTGGTGTTCCTTCTTTTTCTCCTTTATGGCCTCTCTTTGGTAAGTTGGTGAATTCTCTCCCCCCACTTTCTCCTTTCCTCCCTTTGATCATGCACCATTGCTTTTTTCTATCTTTTCTGTTCTGTATCTGCACAAGGCACTATCCACATAGAATCCAACTGAAAATTGATGAGATATACTTTTCAAATACTGTGCTGGTCCGCTCTCAGTCCCTATAACAAATGCCAGAGACATTCAGCTAACAAGAAGGGTTTGGGTTGGGTTATTTTTCCCTATAATTTTGGAGCTCTTAGTCCAGGATTGGTTAACCCTGTTCCTTTGGCCTGTCTCTGTCATGTCAGCAGTTCATGGTAGATCACAGTTGCTCACGTCACGGCCAGCATGTCAAAAAGAAAAAGAGGTGGGGCTTTCATAACCCCTTTAAGGACAAGCATCCAATGACAGGAGAACTTCCCACATACCCCACTTCTTAAAGATACTATTACCTCTCAATTGTGCCTCTGGCTGGAGGCTTTAACACGGGCACCTTTGGACAACCCTTATCCAAATAGGAAATTCCTTTGAGTGTGCTAGTGATGGCCCTCAGACCACCACACCGGTTCATTTTTGTTTCTCTTCTCAGATAACGTTAGCTTTCCTCATGAGTGTGTTGTTAAAGAAACCTTTTCTCACTGGTTTGGTCGTCTTCCTCCTCACCATCTTTTGGGGAAGTCTGGGATTCACAGCGCTGTACAGACACCTTCCTGCCTTTATGGAATGGACCTTGTGTTTGCTTAGCCCCTTTGCCTTTACTGCTGGAATGGCCCAGGTAAGAATGAAGAACATTTGTTTTTATCTGTGTGTGTGTGTGTGTGTGTGTGTGTGTGTGTGTGCATTGGAGGTCATAGGACAGTGTGACAGATGTCAACTCTGTCCTTCCACCACATGGGTTGTGGGGATCAGACTCAGGCACTTTTACCAGCTGAACTGTCATTGCTGTCCCCCATGTTATTTATGTACACAGCACTCTAAACACATTCCTTCTATGATTTATGCAATACCCACCAAACACTAAAGTATTCTGCCCATCTTTATCGAGATAGAAGTTTAAGGGATAAGAGACATTTTTGGTTTTCTCTCTCCTATTTTTTTAATTTTTTTTTGTAATTTTTAAGATATAATCACATCATTTTCCCCTTTCCCTTTCCTCCATCCACCCCTTCCCATGCCCCTTCTCTCCATCTGCATCGCTCCCTTTAAAATTTGTGGTCTCCTTTTCTTTATCATTGTTTTACACACACACACACACACACACACACACACACATACACACACACACCACATGCACAGAGACACAAATGTATAAACCCACAAATACAAACTGAATCCTTTTAGTGTTACTTGTATGTATTGATTTCAGGGTTGACTACTTGATATTGGATAACCAATTAAGGGGCTCATCCTTTGGGATAACTCATTCTTCATCTGTCATCATCCTTAGTCGCCCTGTGAGAATTCCCTTTTTCACATTAGGATAGCTATTGGTGCTGACCTTTTTCAGGTTGTGTTTAGGCATATCGTTGAAGTATAATGAACGCAGTTCTCTGTCATTTATGGCAACTTTCCCCATTCCTCTGGTTCTTAAAATCTTTCGCTCTCTTCTGTCCCCTGAGCCTTAGGTTCAAGTTGTGTTGTAAGTGTATCAGTTTCAGCAGAGAGCCCCACAACTAATGGGGCTCTTTACATTTTGACCAATTGTAGCTTTCTATAATGGTCTCCATCTGTTGCGAAGAAAAGCTCCTTTGATGAGAAGCCAGAGCTTCACTGAACTGTGGGTATAAGGATAGATATTTAAAATGAAGTTTAGATCTGTGTTGATTCAGTAAAGTGACAGCAGTTGGTTTTCCTCTAAGGTCAATGACCTCACCAGCCCCGGGTAGCTAGCTAGGTGTCCTGTACCAGGCACGAATTCCCTCTTGTTGAGTAAAGCGTCAGTCCCATTACAGAGCTGTTGGCTAACGTCAAGGTATGGGTACCACGACTGCCTCTTTAGTTACCAGACTGGTCATTGGTGTGGTTAGTAGGCATCACAGCTGGGCATGACTCTTGGCTGATTCCCTCCTTCGGCAGCTTGCATACTGCCATCCAGTACAATGAGAACTAGTCCTCGGGAGGAGGCTTTCCAGTTAGAACTGGGTCAAATCCCCTGAGCCTTGTGTATGAAGTGTATGGTGCCTTTAGCAATAATGACTTACCTCCAACCTCTGGCAGACAGCAGCAATAGCCTCTGTTATTTGGGGAGTCTATTGGACTCCCATAAACAGCAACTTGAAAGGGGGTTTCTCACGACTGGTACTGAGATGATCGTTAATTTATGGCTCTAAATGTAGAATGACATTTGATGGTTGATGTGGCTCAGCTTAGACTTCTAACCTAATATTTGTCTGATTTAAGCTTGGGAAACATGAGCCTTAACACTATCATAAGTTTTTGAAAATTAAAACTCATTGGACATTTCCCCCATGAAATTAAATCTCCTCCCCAAAATTTCATTTGAAATCATTTTATGTTATTGAAATTCTTCTTCTTTTTTCTGCCCAACCACTAATAAACTTTCATTTCTCCATTTTTTCACTATGGAGTGCCCCACTGAAGAACACCTTCCCCTCCCCCTTTATTCCTTTTAATCCTGGTGAATTTTTGTGTTAGATATGTCTCAAATACCACTTTCCTAGTCCTTTTATCTCCTCTGAGCAGATGTCACCATCATCTGGAGTCTGTAGTTAGAGGGTGGCTGCTATGAATGGCGATAAGCCTGAGCTATATATGTTGTGTCTCATTTATCTTTCCCTTGATATCTAGCAGAATTAAGATCATAAATATCTTTAAAATTTTATTAATCCTTGAAAAAATTGATGTATCTCTTTTTCAGCTTATTCATTTGGACTACGACGTGAATTCTAATGTTAATTTGGACTTTCCAAACAACTCATACCTAATCATAGCCAACCTCTTTATGTTGATTTTGGATGCTTTTCTCTATTTGGTACTGGCATTGTATTTTGACAAAATTTTACTCAGTAAGTAGTAAAATTATTGTAATTTTATACATTTCTATTACTTGCATTTACTTAAAGTAACTGTCTATGACAGTGGTTCTCAACACTCCTAACACTGAGACTCTTTAATACAGTTCCTCATGTTGTGGTGACCCCCAACCATAATACTATTTTCATTGTTACTTTATAACTATAACTTTGCTGTCATTGTTAATCATAAAGTAAATATCTGACATTTTCAATGGTCTTAATTGACTCTTGTGAGAAGGTCATTTGAGTCCCAAGAGGGGTTGTGATCCCCAGGTTTAGAACTACTCTTCTACAATATATTGAATATAAATGGTATAGCATTTTCTTTTCTAAATTTCTGAAATTACAGATAACATTTGAGAATTCCATAATGCATACAATGAAGCATGATCATGTCCACCCTCCACTCCCCTTCCAACTTACCCCATGTCCCTTGAACATGCTTTCTCTCCTTTATCTTTTTAAATAACCCAATAATTACACATGTGCATGGGGATGGCTATCCTCTGGAGTATGGGAAACGAGTCAGTGACCATATCCCTATAAAAGATGAGCCTCCTTTTCCCAGCATCTATGCGTTAACATTATCTCTACAGCTGGGGATGGGGCCTGGTGCTCCTCTAGCGCCCCCCCCCCCCGTGCTGACATTTTTATTGACTTGATATTGTCTAGGTCTGATGCAGATAATCACAGCTGCTCTTAGCTCATGACTGCAGTAGTCACATCATGCCTAGAAGACAGTATTTCGCAGAACTCCCCCCCATCCTTCCATACTTACAGTCTTTACACCTCTTCTACAATGTTCCCTGAGCCTTGGTGATGGTGGTGTTAATATAGACGTCCCATGGAGGGCTAAACATTCATCCCCTGGCTTTTAGCACTGTGACCGGTCATTCATTGACTGCCATCCACGGTAAAAAGACAATTTTCTGATGAAGACTGAGAATAGCTCAGGTCTACGATGGCTAGTTTTATGCCAGCTGTGGGCTATATTACCCTTGGGCTGACGCTCTTGGGTTATATAACAAAATAGACCGAGGAAGCCACGGGAATCAAGCCAGTAAGCATCACTCTTGTGTGGCTTTTGTTTCGGTTGCCATCTCCAGGTTTCTGCCTTGCTTCAGTTCTTACCCTGACTTCCCTCAGTGGTGGATGAATATGTTCTAAAGTGAAATAAACTCTTCCATCCATCCCCAAGTTACTTTGGTCATGGTATCACAGCAATTAAAACCCTAACTAAGAAAATGGGTACAGACGTAAGTATTTAGAAGACTTTTTTTTTAACACAAAGCTTTTTGAGTTTTATTTTGTCCTCCAGTTGGAGATTTATTTTAACATGCATGCATTTTAAAACAGAAATAGGGGCTCGAACTGTTCAGAGCAGACATTAGACAAGCACAAGGGTGAGAATTCTTATTTAAAAAATGGAATTTGCAGCCAGATATGAAGAAGACAATTGAACAACATGGTCATTTAGCAAAATAACAATACCAAGATCTTCCCTAGTGCCCATAATCTCCAAGTCATGGGATTTTTGACCAGGATTATAGTACCAGACATGCAATTTACTCCTATGGAGCAAACCTTAAATCCGATCATAAGGTAGTTATTTATCTGCTATTGCTGGACCATTATTGCAGGAGATACATCTTGCTTGATAGTGTTGTAACACACATGGTCCAGTCTGAACCCTGCATCTTTTGGCAGTATGAAAACTGGTCAGAAGCTTCCTGAGTAACTGGCATTAATTTCTCCATGTCCTTTTGCTAAAGGGTGTGATATCTTAGGCAATAGGATCTTGCTATAGTTAAGGTGGGTGTCTAAAGACAGTATCAATGCCTTTGTTTTTTGGAAATCTCTGGGAATTCTCTGACCAATAACTCATAGGAAGGTGCCTTATGCTTTGCATTCCAATTTTTATTTAATAAATACCCATGTCTTCTAAAATGACATTGTCCATGCATGCATGGTAATTTCACTTGAACTCCTGAAATTAGCTTACTAGCTAGTGGATTTCTATAAGGCCCTTTCATAAATTCTTAGTTTTGGTAAACACACTCATTACTCCCTCCTCTTCCCATTCTCCCATCCCTATCAACCTTCAATCCCTTAGCCCTCAGAATCCCCTTCTTCTTTCATTTTGCATGTGTTCTACCATCCTTATACTGATATTGTTTTAAGTTGGGTTGTGAGATAACAGAAGTCTAATATGGCTTTTCTCATCCTCTTCTTTTGGGTTAGCCCCATTCTTCTCCCACATGCCTCCCATACTCCCAATGACCTTCTACCCTGGTATTCCACTCCACAACTCTCATTTTACCTCAATCTACTATGCCCCTCCTTTAATATTTCCCCAAACCCTACCCCTCTCTAGCTTCCTGTCTTCCATTTTTCTCCAAGTTAAACTCACAAAAGAACTATTTGAAGCAAGGCTCTGCATACGAGAAAGCACATAGGGCGTTTGTCCTTCTGGGGTTGAGTTACCTCACTCAGTTTCATTTTTCCCAGTTCCATCTGTTTACTTGCAAATTTATTTTCTCTTAGAGCTTAGTAATATTTCATGTTTATATGTACCGCATTTATCCACTCATTTTCGTCTTAATAGAATACTTAAGTTCCTCTTGAAACAAGTCACTCTGGCCTAGACTTTTTCTTTTGACAAAGCTACATTTTTTTTATATTCTAATGTGGGCTCAGGGTAGAGCCATAGAGGTTGGTTTGCCATTCTGTGCTGAATGGAATGCAGTCCTCGGAGTGGTGACTGACCCGATACTTACCTGTCCATATAGGTAAGTATGGACATCGACGTTCCCCATTATTTTTCCTGAAGTCATCTTACTGGTTTCAACACAGAAGAGCTAATCATGTGGTCCTTGAGAATGAAACAGACTCTGGTCCTCCACTAGATGACTCGTTTGAACCAGTGCCTCCAGAATTCCAGGGGAAAGAAGCCATCAGGTAACAAACAAATCACAGGGAAGCACCATGGAGAACAGGCTCCAGAACAGGGACCTACCAGGGCAAGACACTGATGTACAAAGATCTCCCTCTGAGCCTCTCCGGACCCACATCCTCCAAGTCTACTGATCCTACAAAAGGATGTTCTCTTTGTAGATAGCTCTGTATTTCACCCCATCTTCATCATTTACACTTACTAATATCTTTTGGTCAATAAATACTACATCCCCATTCTCATCGTCTTCCTTGTCTACTCTTCATATTTTGTTCTGATGTCCTCTTGGTGATAAACAGGGTATTATCATCTTCTTTCTCTATAATCTACTTTGTCTCTTTTCAGGGCCTTCTTGGTGGGTAGGATGAAAACAAAATACAAGCGATGCATAAAGGGAGGTAGAGACATTCCAGAAAGATGGGAAGAGATGATCAGACCATAGGGCACTAATGCCCTACATCCCCTCCCCCAGAAACCATGAATGAACTGTGGTCAGTGCTGACTTCCCAACAGCTGCACATCCCAGTCATCCTTATCGTCTTGAATTTTGTCTGTAGCCCACCTGATGCTTTGCTTTGATAATATAAGAAACTAATGCCTCTAGTCTACACAAGATCTGGAGCATAATAGACCTTCAACTCAGAAAGTTTCTGTATGCCCCCCCCCCTTTCGTTAAGACAGGCTCTTACTTTGTAAACCAGTCTGGCCTAGAATTCACAATGTATTTCAGGCTGCCTTCAGATTCCTAAACTTCTTCCTTTGGTCCCAAGAGCATCACCACACTTCAGTTCTACAGACTCTTCACAGCTTCTCATCATTTTCTTCTCCTTTCCTCCTCTTTTGACATTTCAAACATCTTGAGTTCTGCAGTTCTTGCTTTCTGTGGGAATCAATCTTATGTGATAATTAGTATTGTCATCCTTGCTTTATTGCTAAAGTTTTGGACTCTGAGTTCTGTCTTTATACCCGAGCTCTGTGTAAATGACACAGACAGGAGTTCACTCAGAGGGTTTTACTCCAGAGCTCAAGACATTTTGCTCTGACGTGAGTCCCTTCACCTACACCATTGGAGCTTTTACTACTGATCTCATCTCCGGCTTTCTTCTCCAGTCATCTGCCTCGATCTGTGTGTAGAGGTGTGTGTATTCACATGCTAGCTACTCCCTCCTCCTCTTACGTTCTGTTGAGGTGCAACTGTCAGAGATGCTGCCTCTCATGGGATTCCCAGGATGCTTCTGACTGTGCCTGTGTAAAACAAAGAACCTCCAGGTTTTATCAAGCCTCCCCCAATCTCTACAATTTCCCCCAAACAGTGGTTTTTAATTTTTTTTTGCAGGATCAAAAATCTTAGAAGGGAATATACAGGAAAGCATGGAAAAGTAGAAGCTTTAAAAGGTAATAAATAAGATTATATTTAACATAACTGTTTGATTTAGAGACTTGTAAAACTTCAGTAGGGATGAAGAAGAGCTATTGCAGACAGCTGGACCAATTTTAAGATTGATTTTACTTTGAAGATTAGTACCCACACTCGTCTGTGCAGTGAGACATTGTGAACCGTGGAGCCTATAACATGGCTACAATGTACTGAATGTAATCTCTTTGACACCACGACAGGTCTGGGATTTGACATATATGAAGGCCAGATCACTGCTCTTCTTGGCCACAGTGGAGCTGGGAAAACCACACTGATAAATACACTCTGTGGACTGTCACCCCCAACTACAGGTAAGAGGTCACTTGTCAAAGACAAACCCGAGGGCAAACGGATAAATTGCTTTTCACTAGTTAACTTGCTGCACCATTGTTACCAAGACAAAAACATTCAGAATTTCTCTTAAATGTTGCACAGTGGATGCACGTGTTGAATTACATATTTCCCCATTAGCAGATACTACGTTATGTTTTCATATGTCACTTGAGAAGCTAAGAAAAATGTTAGAAGTTTCTTTATTGTTACATAATTATAGAGATTTGTGAAACTGTGTTCTATACAAGTGACGATAACTATTCAATTATTAATTGGTATTTCTGCTAGATTAGATGCTATTCTGAGCATTGAATCACTCTGTGTGTGTGTAGGTGGATATGTGGAGGTGAGCTTGCTTGGATGAGCACAAGTGGAAGCTGATGATGCGACGCCTTTCTCAACCACTTCTTCACCTCTTTGTTTCAAATGATTTTTTTTTTAGTTTAAAAATTCTTTTTAAAGTTTCATATACGTGTACAGTGTATCTGAGTCATATCCATTCCGCACTCCTGCTCTTCAGCACCTCCCAGTCCCACCCCAACTTCATGCTTCATGTCTTTAAAATAATTATAAATCCAAGCAGAGCAGTACTGCCCATATGAGCATGTGTGTGTGGTCCTCCTCTGGGGCACAGACAACCGACCTTCACACACAAAGTAACTCTGCCTCTCTCAGAAGCCCTAGCTCTTCAGCTTGAGGTGGGGCATTGGGAGCCCCTCTCCCATCCATGCTGGAAGTTTGAAGTCTCTTCCTGTTGCCTTCACCTTATTCTTTGAAGTAAGGTTTTGCACTTAACCTTACACTCCGTGTTCTGGCCAGGCTCAGGGCTGCAATGAGTTCAAAGGCTCTTCCTTTCCTCACCCCTCCTTCCCCACACTAGGTCTCTGGTCCATGCTGCCGCACTCGGGTTTTACATGATTTTGAGGATCTAAACCCCAGTTCCCACATGGCATAATAAACACTTCACCCTCTCTGTGTTGCAAGCAGACAAAATATGCTGGAACGAATCTTGTGATGTACATAATTTATACCTTGCCCTGATGGTAACTCCTTATTTTCTCTGCGTAGGGTCCGTCACCATCTATAATCAGACACTTTCAGAAATGGATGACTTTGATACTGTCGTCAAGCTCACTGGAGTTTGTCCACAATCCAATATACAATTTGGTTTTCTCACCGTGAGAGAAAATCTCAGACTTTTTGCTAAAATAAAGGGAATTCTGCCGCATGAAGTAGAGCAGGAGGTAAATGAACATGTCCACTGTTATGCAACAATGAACGTGAAACTGATCACCTAGAAAATATTAAATGTGCTTGTGTTGTCTGTACACATTTGCCATATAAAGTTAGGCATACAGAATCTTTCTGAAGGCAGAAAACTGTGTTTTAAACATAAGGGAACCAGGGTGGTTCAAGCCTGTCATCCCAGCATTTGGGGGGCAGAGGCAGGAGTATTGCTGAAGTTTAAGCTAGCCTGGGTTACAGAGGGGAGACTTGATCTCAACAAAAAATCTTAGACTTTAGACTAAATATTCTTTATTTTGTTAGGTACAGCGAGTTTTGCGGGACTTAGAAATGGATAATATTCAAGACATTCTTGCTCAGAGTTTAAGTGGTGGACAAAAAAGGAAACTGACTTTTGGGATTGCCATTTTAGGAGACCCTCAGGTAAGGTGATCAAAATTAGAAATCAGATTGAAGATGCAGAAGCTATTATATTCAATCAATCTGATAAATTTAAGAAAACTTTTAAGTACAAATGCCAATACTTTGACACCTCAATGGGTGTTAATAATCTTGCCCCAGAGGGACAAATGACTCTGTGGTAATTTCTACTGTCCAGGTTTTGCTACTGGATGAACCAACCGCTGGATTGGACCCACTTTCAAGGCATCACATATGGAACCTCCTGAAAGAGAGGAAAGTAGACAGAGTAATTGTCTTTAGTACTCAGTTCATGGATGAGGCTGATATCCTGGCTGGTAACTATGGTTTTGTTTTTCATGTTTCATAGTGAGAAAGAAGGACTTAAAGATGGGTTGCAGACAGGCCCCATAGGCACATCTCTCTAGTGACAGCCACAGCCAACACAGGAGAGTTGCTTCCACCCATTTGAATCTCTGTGTCCCAGGTGAAAGGCTTTGTCCCATGAATGCAGTCGTAATACACAAAGAAGGGAAGGTTGTAACACATGCAGTACTATCCCAAACATGCTTTATTCCACGTGGATAGATGTCAGCGGGCTTGAAAGATGTAGATGCTTGATAACTTTCCAAACTACGCAGAGGAGAAGCAAACATTTCCGTTACCAGAGTACCTAGAAAGTCACAGAATGAGTATGTCACTATTCTAATGTGACATGCTTCTAAATCGCCATTGGTTCGTGGATTTTGATTTTTCACATTTATGAATACCGAAAAATCATTCTTTGTTAAAATTTATCTTTTGGTTCTTTCCAAATAGACAGGAAGGTGTTTATATCCAATGGGAAACTAAAGTGTGCAGGGTCTTCCCTGTTCCTGAAGAAGAAATGGGGCATTGGCTATCATCTAAGGTACAGATGCATGTTGAACCCACTGGTGGCAGGCACCATCTCTTTCATTTTGGATAATCACATAATTATTATAAATGAATCTTTAAAAACAGTAAAAATCACATCATCCTGGGGATTCAATAGACCTCACTGTTTCTTTTTAAATTTCCTTTATTTTAATTTAATTTTTAAGTTCATTTTACATTCCATCCACAGTTCTCCCCACCCCACCCCTCCTCTTGTCCCCTGCCTGTCCACCAGCCCACCCCTACCACTCCTCCCAATATTTAAGGGCTTTCTACAGTACCAGCATTATCCATTGTTACAAGCAGAATAAATAATTTCCCTCCTATACTCATTGGTGCCTGGGCAAGCCTCTGTGAAGGTCTTTGTATTTGTCATGTTTCTGTCTTGGGGAGGATATCTGTTACCTCCTCCTTCATCACATTCAACCATGTATAAACATTACCCGTGTATATGTGTGTGCCATGTGTGAGCATACACATATGTGTATGGTTGTTCACATAGACCACATTACAGCATCAGATACCTGTAGCTAGAGTTATAGGTAATTGTGAGTTATCATATGGAGGTGCTCAGAACCAAGCCTACCTCTTATGTAAGAGCAGAGAGTTCTCCTAACCCCTGAGCTCTCTCTCCAGTTCCTTTATCTGTTCTTAGAGGCTGTTTCGTTGTTTAATTAATTTCTTTGGTCTTCAGTGACTTCATCTGTAAATATACAGTAATACCTATTTTTTGGCTAATGGTAATGGATGAACACTTGACAGAGCACAAAGCACTTAACCGAGTTAACACAATTTCCCTCTCCCTCACGTTTCCTGAAAACCTCTTGCTTTGCATTACAATCCTGCTGCAAGCCATGTTAGGGAAGGGGCTGAATTTCTTCTGCCTGGTATACTTGATAATGCTACGCACAGCACTTTCAAAGCACAGACCAGTTTTGACATTACATTTAGATTCATGTAATCAGTGATGTGTGGTGTTTGTACCGCTAAGTTACCTCAGTACATTTCAGTGGACATGACTAACAATGGTGTTTCTAAAACCCCACATTTCATAAAACACGACATAGACTCTTATCAAAGACTTCATCTATTACTTGAATAAATTTTACACAAAATGATAAAACTACTAGCATGTATTAAGAGTTCACTTCATGAAAGACCCAGCACTATCTCATAAATACTGTTTCATTCTGCCTGTTAAGGTTGATGTAAGAGCTGGGTATTATTTTATCTCATAGATAAATATCTCATATTCAGAGATGGTGGCCAGCTCACCTGGCCTCTGGGACCTACATAATATAATGTCAATACCATATTCTTAATGACTACAGATTATCTCCATCTTTCTTTCACTGGCATTAAGTGTTTGCAGAGCTCATGAATAGCTGAAAAAGAAGAATTCATAACTGGGTTTTCTTAGTAGGTGGAGACCTGATTGGTATTTCCAGTTACTTTGCCCCTCTCAGGATTTCATTATTTCTTTCCTTCAAATGAAAGCCCTTGAAATATCTTAAATGAATCTCACCTTCCCTTTTACTAGTTCCTCTCCTATGTTGTACAAGACTGTTTGGATTATATTAGTATCATTGCATCTAGTTCCTCTCTGTAAATTACACAATTTTGTCTTATGAATATCCATAAGACAAACATGCACCATAAGAAGTTGATTTTAGAGGCAGTGTTAGATAAAATGACTTTGTCTTACTTTTTTGAATATTAGTTTGCATCTGAATGAAATATGTGATCCAGAGAGTGTAACGTCACTGGTCAAAAAGCACATCCCTGATGCCAGAGTGACCACACAAAGTGAAGAAAGGCTCGTCTTTATCTTGCCCCTGGAAAGGACAAACAAATTTCCAGGTAATCCTGAACAAGTTACATCACTCTCTGCCCTTCAGATTTCTCACTTGCATAAAAAAAAAATGGCTCCAGCTATAGGAGACCTCCTCTGGAATTCATGGTAACACACACACACCTAAAATTTTGAAATTTAAACTATTTAATATTTTTATGTGTACAAGTGAGTTACCTACATGTACACTTGTGTACCGTGTGCACACATAATGTCCCTGGAAGTCAGAAGAGGGCATCAGATCCCCCAGACCTGGGGTTGCAGGTGTCTGTGAGATGTCATGTGGGTGCTGGGAACAGAATCTGGGACTCCTGCACAAGCAACCTGTACTCTTAGGCACTGAATCATCTCTTCAGCCTCTGGAATGAAAAGATTTTAAATACATCAATTTTTGAAAACCTGAGTAGTTTTCTAAGCATGGAAACATAAAGGTTTATGTTATATTTTGATGCTGAAGGAACCACGAAAACTAATATATTCTATAGTTATGTTTTATAATTTAAGTGAACATTAATATGTTTATGATAAAAGTCTGCATAAATTATTATTAATATTTTCTTGCTTTGAAGGGTGTTATTAACTGCTTCATTATAATTTATACTGTAATCTACTTTGTGCCTACTTTTAGATCTTTACAGGGATCTTGATAGGTGTTCTAACCAAGGCATTGAGAACTATGGTGTTTCCATGACAACTCTGAATGAGGTGTTCCTGAAATTAGAAGGGAAGTCAATGACAGACGAATCAGGTAAGAGGCAGGGAGAAGATGGAGAAGGGAAGGGAGCTTTGTTGGTACTAGCCTTAGGATAAAGTAGAGAAGAGATACAGACTTACAGGAGATGGCAGTGTACCACACTAGGTCCTCATAGAATAGACAATAAATATGAGGTGCCCTATTACCAGAATATAAAAGGCTGTGGGGAATGGAAAATTACGCTGAAAAATAAATTCATTCATTTTTGAGACGGTTTCACGGAGTAGCTCTGGCTGCTTGGAGCTTACTATGTAGATCAAGCTGGCTTTGAACTCACAAAGATCTACTTGATTCTGCCTACAAAGTGCTGGAGAGAAAAGCAGGTACTTCTACACTCAGCCATACACTTTTATTTTTCATTATCATGATAAGCAAGAGATGTGCTACTGTCTTTTACCCGTACTTAACTTGTACATGTTTTATAATTTTCTAGAAATTTCATTTTTTTCTCCAGGTTTCTAATAAAAAGAAGCAAAGTTTTATCTAGGTTTTTATAATGTGGCTGTATCAAAATTGTCGTATCTACCATCTTTGTGTTCTTGAAGGGAAGAGAGGCTTCTATATGTATTAACTTTGTTATTTTAGCCAGAAATATAAAGGTGGTAACAAGAGTGTAACAAGGTGTAACAAGAACACTTTTGCATGGATTAATTTTCATGGATTTCCTAGAATACATCTTAGGAAGCTGCATGTGCCTTTTTTAAAAAATTGCAATTTTTTTATTGCCTCAAATTGTTTTGTTTTTCTCCCATTTGCTCAGTATTTGCTTTAATATAGTCATGAATTCGATTGTGTGTTTGCTCCCAACATTAATGCTGAAACTTCTTGGTGAGCAAATGGTTGTGGGAAAGGTTAAGCAATACATAAATAAACTGGCATCTTCCAAATGTTTGAGCTTATGTTTCAGATATTGGAAGCAGTGGGCACTTAGAAAGAGGAGGGGCGGAAGCCACGGGAAGCCTTGCTGAGCTGGCGCAAATGGTGTCCTCCCGAGATTCATCGGGAGACATGAGGAGTGGCATGGCGCTGTGGAGGCAGCAGCTCTGTGCTGTCGCCAAGGTTCGCTTCCTCAAGCTCAAGAAAGAAAGGAAAAGCCTGATGACCGTGTGAGTCTCCCATGGGTTGAGAGCCCAGTGCAAAAAGTAGATAATATAAACTCCAGCAATTGCATACAGTCTTCTAAATGTTTCGCAAAAAATCCGCCCTTGTGGACACGTAATAAAAATAAGTTAAGTTTAGGGTGATTGTATTTGCACACAGATTCTGTCCTTACCAAAGACCCCATTCTCTGCTTTTCCCAGACACCAAAATCTCTTAACATTTTCCATTGTATGAGGTAGGGAGATACACAGAGGGAGAGAGGGAGATGATATTCAGATGAATAAATGTACAGATAGGTAGATAGGTAGATAGGTAGATAGATAGATAGATAGATAGATAGATAGATAGATAGATAGATAGATAGATACATACATACATACATACATACATACATACATACATACATACATACAGGTTGATTTTAAGGAATTTACTTGCGATAGATAGATAGATAGATGATAGATAGATAGATAGATAGATGGATAGATGTTGATTTTAAGGAATTTACTTGCAATAGAGAGATAGAGGGATGTTGATTTTAAGGAATTTACTTGCAATAGATAGATAGATAGATAGATAGATAGATAGATAGATAGATAGATAGATAGGTGATAGATAGATAGATAGATAGATAGATAGATAATTTACTTGCGATAGATAGATAGATAGATAGATAGATAGATAGATAGATAGATAGATAGATAGATGTTGATTTTAAGGAATTTACTTGCACTACTATGTGGATTGGAAACTGAAATTTGTAGGAGAAATCAGCAGCCCGAAAAGTCCATTACTGTTGGCATTCCTGCCAACAGGTTGGGCACTGAGACTTGGTGCCTCTCTTTTAGCTTCTCAATGCCATCTAGTACCTGTTGTAAAGGCCAAACCCCTGCAACTTCCACCTAATTGGTAAGGGCTGCCTCCTGGCAAAAACCTGCCCCTACTCTCAGGAGCCTTCTTTACGCAAATATTTGCAAGTGTGCCTACACATAGTCCTGGTGTTTAATGTTTGCACATACATTAAAATAAATCAGACATAAACCATTGTATTATCTTTTTATTGCTGTAATGGAATGCCCAAAATTAGGAACTTATAAAGAGGAAATCTGTACTGCTTCCCAGCCAAGTAGGTTCCTATCCAAGGCCAGGGTGCTCTTGAATTTCCACAGTTCCATTTAAGGTCACCCAGTACCCTAAGTTTCATACAGGTTCACCCTATCTCCTGGCTCTTGCGTACTTCCACTCCCTCTGCAATGCTTCCTGAGCATTAGAGGGTGTGCTCTCAGTGACTTGTTTGGGGCTATGTTCCCATCCTCTGCTTATTTTCTGTATCTTAGGCAGCCACGAGTCTCTCCATTACTCATTGTAAGAAGCGTCTTCTCTGATTAGGCTGAGAGCTGCCTTTGCCTCCAGGTGTGAATGGTTTTTCCTGCTATGCCGGTTTAGTTAACCACCAGGAACATGCTTTCCACGTGGGCTTTCTATCTCCCCAGAGCTGAGTGCTTAGACAAGTTGGCAGTGCCGGACATTTGTCTCCACTGCTTTTTTCTTCCAGTCATTTCAGAGTATCAGGTCTCACAGGAGATTTTAGTATGCCTGTATTCCCAGTACTCAAGAAGTGGAAGTAGGAGCATCAGAAATTCTAGAACATTCTCAGTTACATAACGAATTCAAGGCCCCCCTGAACTATGCCAGGACCTGTTTAAAACAAATCAGAGTTGGAAGGCCCAAAGAAAATGTCAAAAGCAGGAGTAGGTACTCGGAGAAAGGTCAAAGCTGTGCCCTTTCATTTTAGAAAGAAGGAGGAGGAAGCAGCAGGATTTGAATGTCCCCATGCCCATGTTTTATCCCTATCCGTTATCTACTAAAACCTAGAGCTCCCCAAAAGTTGCTACAGATTATTAATTCTTGCTTTTTAATATTTACTTTCTTCCACGTAGGCTACTGCTTTTTGGCGTTAGCTTTCTTCCCCAAGTTTTGGGATACCTGATCTATGAGCTACAGCATGAGAATTACTCATGGGGCCTGTCTCCAAGTATGTATTTCCTTGCCCCAGGGCAGCCCCCGCAGGATCCTCTGACCCACTTACTGGTCATCAATAAAACAGGTAAGTCATAACATCCAAACACAGTTTTTTGTTTGGTGGGAGATTGTCTGGAAAACATAAAACATAAGGAAAAGAATTATTTCCGTGTATTAAAAACATTTATAAGACCCAACAGAAAATTAATTAGGAAATAAAAACCACAATTTAGTTTGCTTTGGAATACTTTTTTTGTTTGAAGTTTACTTGACCTCTAAGGGTTTTGCCAAAACAATCAAAGAGGCCTTAGAAAACCAAACCACTTACTGGTCTTTGAGATCTTCCTGTATCATTTTATAATTCCCTATGTTGCTGGGCGCTGAAAACAAAATGCTCCAAATTCATAAGAAGATCAAATATCATAGCATCAAAGGTCACACTACTGGTTGGTTAGTTGTTTTTGTTTTTCATTGCTAATTTGTGGTGCTGGGCATTGAACCCAGAATCTCGTTCATTCTAGGAAGTAGTCTACTACTGAATTACACTCCTAGACATTACACAATACTAGAAATATTAATGCATTTGAGGCCGTGCGTAGAGGATCTTTATTATATACCTGATTTAAATAGTGGGTTTTTGCACTCAACTCTAATTCGGCCTCCTAAGGACACCTGCAAGCAATAATGACATGCTTTGAGTCATGTTTCATTTTTTGTTGCTTTCTTTGCTACCTGACTTATCTTTGCTTTCTTTGGTTTTGCCTTCCTGGTAGGTTCCAGCATCGATAACTTTGTCCATTCACTTAGACAGCAGAGCATAGCAGTAGACATAGATGTCCTGGGAACCAGAAATGGCACAGAAGAGGTTCTCTACAATGGCGCTATCACTGTGTCGGGTGATGAAAAGGTATGCTAGACTCTGATGGCTGTGTCTCACCAAAGGTGGACTGTGAGGGGCAATTTGAATAGCTCAAATGAACTGACTTGATATAAACAGGATGTCTCCCGTTTTTCATAGGAGAAGCTGAGCGATACTTATTTGCTTGCTATCTCCAATATAACTACCAAGGGTTTTAACAATAATTTAAAAATTGTATCGATTAATTTCTGCCTCATTAAGTACTTTACATTGTATTCTTGATGGAGCTGAGAACAACTGCTCAGCTTAGATGTAGCCTTGGATCTGCAGTCTGCTGTATCTCCATATTGCTCATTATTTATATTACTTGCCTAGAGCTTGAAGGAGGTTTTAAAACAATTTAATAATTCTTTGAGAATTTCATCCATCCATCTATCCATCCATCCACCCATCCACCCACCCACCCACCCACCCACCCACCCATCCATCCATCTATCTATCTATCTATCTATCTATCTATCTATCTATCTATCTATCTATCTACCATCCATCAGGTTCAATGTGAACTGCCCAGCTCCTCTTGGGTATAGGCCTGCCTTAAAATGTAATTTACTTACTAGACAACACATCCTTAAAGAAAACTGATTTTTCCTGTCCCAGAAGCTATCAAATACCAATAGCTCTTCAACTAGGAGTGGAACTTTGTGCCTACCTCTCCCACACCATGCTGGGATTCCTTCTGGCTTGAGTCTTCACAGACCTTGTGCATGTTGTCACAACTGTGAGCTCATGTGTGTAATCAACCTGTTGTGTTCAGAAAACACCCTTTCCTCATAGTAATCTGTTGGAGGGAGGCTGCTTGTTGGTTCCAGGCCTCCCAGCTAGTTTCAACCCAAAATAATCACACAGAAATTGTATTAATAAAATCACTACCTGGCCCGTTCGTTTTAGCTTCTTATTGGCTAACTCTTATATTAATTTAACTCATTTCTATTAATTTGTATATTGCCACATGGTTGTGGTTTACTGGGTAAAATTCCCAGCGTCTGTCTCCGGTGGCTCCATGGCTTCTTTCTGACTCCACCTTCCTCCTCTATGCTATAGGCCAAGCCAGTTTCTTTGTTCGTTAACCAATAAAAGCGACACATAGACAAAAGGACTTTCCACACCAGTAATCTTTCACCTCAGCTCTTAAAATCTTTCTTTTCCCTCTTCCTTGAAGATTCCTCAGCCTTTGGGGGGAGTGCATTTAATAAACATGTCTCATTTAGGGCCAAGAACTCCTCAATCTCTTATTTTCTGCACACTGACCACTTGAGGGTCTCCATTATTTCCACCTACTGCTAGCAGCATCCCCAATGAGGGAGTAAGAGCTGCACTAATTTATGCACTAATATAGCAGTTAGTCATTAGGAGTCTGTTTAATACTGCATTTGTTCATTTAGCACAGTGGTTTTCCACCTTCTGAACCCTGTGGGTCTCGTGTTGTGGTGTCCCTCAACCGTAAAATTATTTTGTTGCCATTTCATAGCTGTAATTTTGCTACTGTTATGAATTGTTATGTAAATATCTACTATGCAGGATATCTGACATGCGACACCCAAAGGGGTCATGAACAAAGCTTGAGAACCTCTGATTTGGCAAAATAATAATAGTAGGTTCCTTTCTAGGACCTGTTGCCTGCCTAGCCACAGGTTCTTATTCCTGATAACAGTACAAGGTCAGCACTCCACCTCATGGAGTGGGCCTTAAATCCAACCTGGGTGGTTGGTAGTCCCGTAACGTTCATGCCGCTACTGCTATTAAAAATCACTTTATTTAATTTTGTGATATTCTGGTCACAAATAGTTGTGTGGCCGATGTTAGGGTGTAGTGGTGTAGAAATCCATATCAAAGTAATAAATCCCTTAAGTATGTTGGGAACTTAATAGTATAGGCAGTGGGAATGTTATTTTTTTTTTTTGCCCTTGGCTTGCTACATTATCAGTGATATCAATGATTTTTCTAACATAGTATGTCATTAAGCTTTATAGCTGCTTTCTGAGAATTAAGAAATATTCATTATATTTTAGGACCTCAGATTTTCAATAGCGTGTAATACCAAAAGACTAAACTGCTTTCCAGTCCTCATGGATATTATTAGCAATGGGCTGCTTGGAATCTTTAATTCTTCAGAACGCATCCAGACGGACAGAAGCACGTTTGTTGAAGTAAGTATATAAAGACCTTGGATGTTTTCAATAAAATCCTTGTAATGCAAGAAATGGCAAAATGGCATTGTATCAATTTTTATGAACTCAATGGTCTTTTTTTTTTTTTTTTTGTTTTTCGAGACAGGGTTTCTCTGTGGCTTTGGAGCCTGTCCTGGAACTAGCTCTTGTAGACCAGGCTGGTCTTGAACTCACAGAGATCCGCCTGCCTCTGCCTCCCGAGTGCTGGGATTAAAGGCGTGCACCACCACCGCCCGGTTGGGCTTATATTTTATACATAAATAACAACATATATTCCTGCATGATTCAGTTGTGACTATGAAACAGTACAAAAAGTATGGTTCCAGGGCAGTGAGACAGCAAGAAGTGGAGCCCTCTGCAGCCCTTGATAGTGGGATTTAATTGATAGCAGAAGTTTTCAATGTTTGACTATGCATCTTTCGTTTTTTTATTTTAAAATATTTATTTATTTATAAAAAGAAAATACATAAATTTAAATACATTTTATATTACAATAAATCTACCATAAAAGTTTTTTTAATGCAAATTGAGTCAACACACGTCAATAGCAATTTGTGTGTGTGAATACATGTGAATACGTAAATATGTGAATACATATTCACGTTTTTCTCTGCATCGGCATCAAGCTTTATTCTGTTATAGTCTCCACCTGAAACAGATGAAACCCATTCACATTATAGAGGGTGATTTTCTCTCACTGGTTTCCATGTTAATGTCATCCAAAAATGCTCTCAGAGGACCACCAACAAAAATTTACCCAATTGCCTTGCACTGCTGCCCAACAGAACTGACACAAAAATTGATTAATACAGTTAATAGCGTTCTACTGTTTGTTTCCCAATTAACTTTAGGCAGGGTCTCATGTAGCCATTGAACTTGTGGTCTTTCTGCCTCTGCCAGCCAAGATATAATTAAATATACAGATACACATGTAATTGATATGGGGAATGCTGTAGTCTCCGAGTCAGGTCTTTGAGCTTCATGCTACAAACAGGACCTTGGGAAGGACTTTGAGGGGCTTTCTCAGTTCCTTTATCCAGATGGTATGGTGAAGACCATGTAAATGAGTCAGAGGCCTGGTTTCTGTCTGCTCACCATGTCTGTATCACTGTAGGAGCATATGTTTTATGAGCATGAACACATGAACAGCGCGTTCTTCTGGATACCGTTGGCTGCCAGTCTCGCTCCTTACATCGCCATGAGCAGCATCAGTGACTACAAAGTAAGGAGCATGAAAGTCTTCAGATATCTTTTGTGCCCTGGAAAATTTACTTTGAATCTTATGAACATAGATTTTCATACAGGTAGTGAATCTAATGTTTGTGTTTGTTCCAATGTACAGTCATTCGTTTCAATAATAGGTTGTCAAAATATGAATAAAATAAAATTTTTTTTCTTTAACAGAAAATTACCTCGAACTAGTCGTAAGGACAACTTTTAAGTATTTATCAGTTAGTCTCATTAATAGACACCTACCAACAGACCTAGTCACACCCTCACTTGTTACGAAATTGTTCGGTTAAATAATCAAGATCCAGTCAGTGCATTTTGACGATTGTTGACCAGTGCCCATGGAAACCACTTTCCCCTCTTTATGGTCATCGGTATCAGCACCAGGTGCTTGCTTCATCACCTTGAACCACATGAGGGCTCAGGAGATGTCTCTATGGACTGGAGATGATTTGAGTTTATTCTGATCTTAACGCTTCAATTTTCAGGCTGAATAAATTTTACAAGCTGTTTAATCACACGCTTGCCTTAGTTTGTCACTGGTGAATTGCATGGTGGTTACAGCTGAATTGCAGTGGGTGTCACTGGAGGCTGTGCTTTCGTTTCCCCCTACGTTGGGTGCCATTTGTAACTAGAGACTGAGCTCCCATTTCCTGGCCACCCAGTCCCAAGTAATCACACGGAAACTTATGTTAATTGTAAACTGTTTGGCCTATTAGCTTAGGCTTATTATTAACTAGCTCTTACAACTTAAATTAGTCCATTTCTATTATTCTATATTTTGTCATAAGGCTTGTGCCTTGTTACCACACATCTTGCTTCCCTGCTGGCTGTTCTTGTCCCTTTCTTAAGAGTGGGTTTTATGGTCTACAAGCAATGATCAAGGCTTAGGGGGAAAAGTCTTGGGTAAGTAAAAATAAATTCTGGGAGATAAGGCAGAGTCTGTCTTATCAAATAGCAAAGGATCACCAGGTGGTAAAACTGCATCATTCCTAGCCTTCCAGGAAGAGCAGCTACACAACTCATTCCTTTGAGGAGGTGAGCTGTTTTGTTTAACTTTCCTAGCTTCTCCAGTGTTTATCTGTGTGTGCAAGGCCTTTTGGCCCTCTACTGTAGAGTTTAGTTCAGAATTATCAATGTTCACATATATTATGAACCACCTGATATTTTCACAGAGATGAGAAATAGATATTTCAAATATGAACCAAAAGAAAAAATTTTTCCTGAGTTGATCTCTCATTTTTAACCCCTTTTTTGCCTCAGTAAGCATTATTATTATCTACATTTGCTCTGGTGTAACATTCTGGATTTATCTTTGTTTCTTTCCTTATTCCTTTTGCATTCTACCTGTAATTCCTTTATGTTGTGTTCCTATTGGTCTTACTGTCACTGTTTACATCCTAGTCTGTATCATCACTCTTCCTGCCTGGATCACTGCAGTAGCTACCTGTTGGCATCCTTACTTGCAATGAATCCTTCCACCCAACCAGAATGAGCATTCAGAAGTTCAAACAGCAGTATCTGGTTAACTTCTCCACGCAGCTAGGATTGTCTTAATTTTTTGCATTGCCCGTCAGAGCCCTGCAGTATTCATCTTCTGTCCAGTTCTCCTTTTTCTTTCTGCCTATTCCCCTTTGTTCACCCCCACTTTTTAACATGGCTTTCACACTCACCAATTTTCAAATATCACTTGATCATTCTCTGAGACCTGTTGCCTTCTCCTTTACCCTGTTCTTTTTACAGAAGACTTCTTGTTATTCATATCTCAGCCCCAAAATGATTTCAGACCAAGCCACACACCGGTGAGTAAGTCAGAATAGATTACCTATCATTGCCATGTGAACTCATTTAAAAAAATATTTAAATGGCACTTAGAATCACAGGGCTTTTCACATTGGTTAACTGGTTTTTTTTCTCCCTAGGAATGAACACTATTAAAATAGGATTATTTTTTCCTCTAAGTTCTACCTAGTCTATCACTTATTTCCATGAACAATGGGTCAGTTTTCATTCTCCTATTCCTTAAGAACTATTTTTAGTGTAGGAGTGCTTGTCTGCATGTGTGCTATACATCACGTGCATGTAGTGCCCACGGAGGTCACTAAATTGTGTCAGTTCCCTGGAACTAGAGTTACTGTCCCTGCTCAAAGTAGCCAAGCACAGAATCTAATAGCTTCCAATTGAAGAGTCATGCCCAACAGTTTATCATTTTTTATCTAAAGAATATTAAACATGGACAGTGTTGGATAAAGATCTATTATTAACATCAATATTCTTGATAGTATTAAAAAATGTTCAAGTCCTAGATGAATATCCTTATGGAAAATTGAGTCAATCATTTATCTGTCTCATTTTGAAATATTATCACATCCTCTAGGGTGTGGCTGTGGCAAATGGCAATGTCATTTGCAAAACAAAAGTGATAACTATAAAGGTATATAATAAAATTATTTGCCCTAACTATATATTTACAGTTACTCTTGCCTCAGCTTTTTAGAATTTTATAATGATCTTTCTGGGTTTTTTTTTTGTTTTGTTTTGTTTTCTGTTTGTTTTTTTATCAGAGAAAAGTTCTTTCCCAGCTGTGGATCTCAGGCCTATACCCTTCTGCCTACTGGTGTGGACAGGCTCTGGTGGACATTCCCCTGTACTTTTCGATTCTCTTTCTCATGCAAATAATGGAACATGTTTTCAGCCAGGAGGAGATTATGTTTATAATTGAAAACCTGCTAATTCAGGTAAGTGGTAAAATTTTAGAAACCCTTACATTTTGGAATAAAGTTTTTTTATTAGAACATCTTTTTCTACAAACGTTGTCACTAGGACCACAGAGTCCCCTTTGCAGGTTCTGTCTGGGTACCATTGATAAAAGAATTTAAAAACTTACTTAGAAAGGAACTTGAGAATGTTTTGTTAAGGCTCGAAAGAGAAAATCCCAGGACATACAAGCCTGAAATATTATCAACTGCTAAGAAGGGAAGGAAACTGGAACAATGAGAGAGAGAGAGAGAGAGAGAGAGAGAGAGAGAGAGAGAGAGAGAGTTAGACTTTGGTAGAGTACAAGCAAGAAGCTGTACCTTGGAGGAAAGGTGAGAACGCTGTGGAAAGATAAAGAACGAGATAGGCATTTTCACCGATAGAACGCAAAAACTGTCCTTCTCCAGGCTGATAGGGGTTGTGGCACAAAAACAGCCCGAAAGCAGCTCTCTACACTTTTGGATCAACAGAGTGGGAACTATTGCGCATTATTATCAATATTATTTGACTTAGCCCTGTAGTGAACCGACAGTTGCTCTGGAGTCTGAGGCCTCAGGATCTGAAAAGGATAAGAAGAGGCAGTAACTAACCACACTTGTAATTGGATTACCTTTTGATTGTATTAACCTTGGACAAAGAACGACTAACAGACGCCATCTTATATGGTCACTTTGCCCTTTAATGTTGGGCCATTTTAAAGCCCCTGTCATGAACCTGGCAGTTGGTTCCAAGCATCCCTGGGACTGCTATTGTCTCCCGAAAGGACAGAAACAGTTTATTATTTTTATCTTATCTTAAGTTAGTTCTTTGAGAGTTTCATGCATACTTTGATTGTATATGCACCCTGTCCCTCAACTCCTCCCCAGTTCACCCACCCAACCTTTGATCTCAGATATGTGAGGGGAAAAAAAAAAAACACTTCCACAATTAACCAAATAAACCAAACTTTATTTTAAAGGTGCACCCAGGACTTGCCAGCTGCCTGTCTCACCCTAAGTCAGAATTTTAGAGAGCAGCCCTGGGCTAGCTTTTGGGGGTCCCTTTTTATGGGGAGAAGTTATAAGGTTAATAGAAAACAGCTGCAAGGTGTTCACAGGGACTGTTAGGGAAAAGACAGTGAAAAAAAAACTGAAAAAAACAAGACCAAAAGTAAAAATATTCATCATGTAGGTAGAGAGTCATCTGATCTGGGGTTCCCCTCTGTATGCTGTGAATACCATCAGTTAATAAAGAAATTGGCTTGGCCTGATAGGGAAGAACAGAGCTAGGTGGGGAAAAACTTAACTGAATGCTGGGAGAAAGGAGGTGGAGTCAGAGAGAAGCCATGCAGCTTCCGCCAGGGACAGACATGCTAAAATTTTGCTGATAGGCTACAACCTCATGGTGAATTAATACAGTTTCTGTGTGGTTATTTTGGGGCTGAGCAGCTGAAGACAAACAAATGGGCTCTTAAAACAAATTAGCACCCAACGTGGGGCTTGAACCCATGCCTGAGATTAAGAGTCTCAAGCTCTACCAACTTGAGGTTGGTGGCCATCTGTGTAAATCAAGGGATCCTAAAACCATATTTTGCAAAATAAGGGGCAGTCATGCATCGTGTGGTCACCAGTTCAGCATAGGTTCAAAGACACGTTTGCAAGATCCATCAGGTTTAGAAAACAGAAATTTATTCCCCCTCACATTTATTTATTTATTTTAATTGATTTATTTGTTTTACATACCAGTCACAGTTTTCCCTGCCTCCTCTTTTTGTCTCCTCTCCCCCAATACACTACTTTTCCCTAGAAACCTATTCTTATAGGGTATGGGTACTGAGCAGCAATATGGCTCCTGCTTTGACATGAAGCCATCATGGCTACTACTCAGGTTTCATGTCTTACATCCTTAAAAAAAAATCTTTCCAGACCAACTTATGCTGCCCAAATAGTTTAACAAGTATGGTCTTCAACTGGAGATTATACAGTTTACCAGTGGCTACATTCTTAGAAAATACCACCTCTCCATAGCTAATACTTGCCAGTAGCTCCATGGCTTGGAGTGGAATCATAGGCCTAACCCCCTTCTCCATATTGGGATTTGGTCTGGCTTGAGCCTGCAAGGTCTGGTGCATGACTTCACAGGGGCAGCTGTCCTGCTGTGTCCAGATGTTTCTTTTGGTCATTTACCACCTCAGGCTCTTACATGCATGCCATCCCCTCTTCTGCAAGTGACCTCTGAGCTGGTGGGGAGAGGTGAGCAGTGTTTAGGACTGTTTATGTGGTGTTTAGTGGTGTTTATGTCCTGTTTAGGACTAAGCATTCTCCAATCTCTTACACTCTGCACTTTGACCGGTTGAACTGATCTCCATCTACTACCAATAGAAGGTTCTCCACACTGGTTTATCAGCCACAGAAGACTAGTACTCGAAAATTCATTACAAGCAGTTGAGAAATGTTCCATTTGAGCACTTAAAATTTGTCTACTTTTACATTTTCAAAATCCCTTATGTACCAGGTATTAGCAATCATCAGGCCATTCATTTGAGAGGAAGCAGACATGTACTCATGTCTCAAATGATGTCTGGAAAGGAGACGGCAGCAGGGGGGGGCTTTTCATTCCCTCTCTTCCTGCCTAGCCTCCCCCACCAGTATTGTCATTGTTAAACCAAAGAACTTCAAATTGCCTATGCTGTTATTTTGAAGAGTTGAGGAGTAATTATGAATACTCTCCAAAGTGGCGGTCGCCGATGTAACCTGAATGTTTCTGTTTTCAGACCCTGTGCAGTATTGGGTACGCATCATCCCTTATTTCCCTGACATACATAATTTCATTCGTTTTTCGTAATGGTAGAAAAAATAGTGGCGTCTGGTCATTTTTCTTCTTGATTGTAAGTATGCATATGATGCTTCCTTCTTGTTTTATTTTTAGCTTTCTTGAATAAATCTAGGAGCATGTATTTTATTTTACTTAAAATCTGTTTTGGACTTCATTATTTTCTATTACGCGTATGAGTGTTTTGCCTGCTTGTGTGTATGTGTAGCACATGTGTGCCTGTGCCGGTGGAGTTCAGAAGAGGACATCAGATCCCTTGGAGCTGGAGTTGGAGATGGTTGTGAGAGACCATGTATGCCTGAGAAATGAAGCTGGGTCCTCTTGAAGGGCAGCAGGAGCTCTTAAACACTAAAGCCTCCCCAGCCCCAAGGACCGTATATTTCCATCATTGCACTAAGCAGAATGGCAAATTAATAATTCTTTTTACAAAATCTTAATTGCTCTAAGATAATGATAAATCTATGGAAATTGTACTGTATGTGTGGGTGTATGTCTACAGATCTTGAGGGATCCAGGAGGTAGAGATTTCTACCTCACAGCCATTCATTTCTTTCCATTGCTATACTATACCACTGATAGATATATCCATCTATTAATTTTTCCATTGCTTATGTCTATCAAATGGCTTCCTGTTTGGGGCTATTATTAATAATACTGACAGGAAGTCAGTATTGTGTATACTTTGACACATTTGTATAGGTGCATATATGTATTCAGGGATACAAACCTAGCAGTAGAATTCTTAGGAATTTTTATATACTTACCTTTGGTATATTTTGTAAATTAGTTGTTTACAGCAACATAAACTCAAGGGATTGATTTCTTATACAGGTCCTTTAAAACAAAATCAAATAAAACTATTCAGCACACACAATAATTTCACAAATGTTTATAGCAGCTTTATTAATAATTGCCCAACTATAGAGCTAACAAAAATATATCAAGATGATAAATGGTTAAATAAATGAAAATATATCTATGTGATAGAATATTATTCAGTTCTAACGAGAAGTGAGCTATCAATCCCTGGAAAGACAAGAAATAAATTTAAAGACAACATGAAAAGGCTACATATCATGATTTTAATTACATGCTATTCCAGAAAAACTATAAAAATAATAAAAAGTTTACTTGGTGCCGAGAATTTTGGGGGTAGAAAGATGAGTAGGACAGTTTGGAGAACTTTTACGGCAATGACCTGTTTTGTATAACACTATAATGGTAAATACATGTTATTGTAACTTCAACAAGACCTGCAGACTATACAGCAATAAGAATAAATTCTAATACAAAATGTCCCTGGAGATTAAATAAAAATTTGAAAAAGAGATAACATATTTAAACCCTTAGACAGGTAAAATAACATAAAGAGTATTGTTCCTTTTGGAAAATGATTTTAAAATTGGGAAAGATAATATTAATGGGTCTGGAGCTTAGTGAGAGAGCCCTTGCTTTGCATGAGTAATGCTGTAGGTTCAATCCAGTCCTACATGTGTACCTGTGTGTGCATATGTGTGTATATGTGTGTGAGTGTGCAGGTGGGAAGGGACCTATGCGTGTATACATGTGCACATGTGTGCATGTCTGTGAAAACTGTTGGTATATCTACTTAGACAAAGGATAGTGTTCTAGATAAAAAGACAGTAAAGTCAGCCTAGAAGAACTTTTTGGGTTTTTATGGTTTTTCAAGACAGAGTTCCTCTGTGTAGCTTTTGCTGTTCTGGAAACCACTCTGTAGACCAGGCTGGCCTCAAACTCACAGAGATCTGACTGCCTCTGCAATTTGAGTTCTGGGATTAATTAAGCTTGTCTGGCTTAGAAGAAACTTAAAAGAATAATAATAATAAACAATAAGAGATATTGAGTATGGTACTAGAAGGAGGAAGAGGTAGTGTTGGGTGCATATGATCAGTATATAGTGTATAAATGTATGGTAACTTTCAAAGAGTAAAAATATCTAAATATTTCAAAAAGAATAATAACCAACAATGACGGATTCTAGAATGCAACGTTGATAGCGTATTAGCAACTATCAAAATAAATGTGGAAATCACATATGTTGAGGAAACATCACATGGTTTCTGAAGCATGCCCTGGAAAAAACAAACATGAATTCAAGAGCACAGATGTGAGAAGCCAATGGAAAAATCCCATATTAAATGTTAAGATTATGAGTTACTCATTTGGTGTTGGCAGTTGGACAGTGATAGCTACAATAGTTGACTAGAACACCTTGAATGATTGAGGCATAGCATCATGCACGCTCCAGTCATGGCTTTTAGAGGAACAGAATGGCACGCATTTTTTGAAAATATTTTTGACAACTGTTGATTTTTTAATTGCCCAAGAGGATTTTAATTTGGGGGAGGTGAACAGATGGTTGAATGGTTAAAAGTGCTGCCTTCTCTTCCAGAGGACTTACATGGTGGCTCACAGCTCTCTATGACTTAAATCCCAGGGAATCCAACATCCTCTTTTGGCCTCCCCAACTAGTAGGCATTCACATGGTATGCAGATGTACACGTAGGCAAAAATAAAATCTTGTACACATAAAATAATAATAGTAATGGGAAACTTAATAAAAAGATTTTAATCTCTAACACTGAAAGCATCAATATGAAAAATATTAAGGTATACCACAATTAATATGACCAAAAAATCCAATAACAAAATTTTGAAGACAAAATTATAAACTCTTACATATTCAATCAAGGAAATATCCAGCTATAAAAATTAATAGCCAGTATCCTTAGACTTAGAAAGATATCTAAGATTTATGCTGAAGTAAAAAAAAAAAGTACATAGAAGTGAATGACCAAAGAATGCCATCATCAAAATCTGTTTATAAACACGGTTTGAAAAGCAATGCCTGATGTGGGATTTCCCTCTGTATGCTGTGAATACCATTGGTGAATAAAGAAACTGCCTCGGCCTATTGATAGGGCAGAACTTAGGTAGGCAGGGAAAACTAAACTGAATGCTGGGAGAAAGGAGGCAGAGTCAGAGAGAAGCCAGAGAGCCACCACTGGAAACAGACGTGCCAAAATTCTGCTGATAGGTCACAAACTTGTGGTGACGCACAGATTAATGGAGATGGGTTAAATTAATATGTAAAAGTCATCCAATAAGAACCTAGAGCTAATGGGCCAAGCAGTGGTTCAAATAATATAGTTTCTGTGTGATTATTTCGGGGCTGAGCAGCCAGGAACCAACAAGCGGCTCCTAACAACAAATGCCTTCCCATAAAAGTATGACTTAGCTTGTGACACAAAGGGGAAAGTATGATGGCATTGCTCTATTGCATGAGGCAGACATCTATAATAGGAACACTGACGAGATGAAGTCCTGCTCTCTTTGAAAATAACCTGTGGCTCATAACACTACGCTTCAGTGACTCCATACTGTGCTTTCATTTCAGGTCACCAGCTTCTCCTTAGTTGCTAATGAGATAAATGCATATGGGTTTCTAGGGCTCCTATTCAGCACCCTTCTGATTCCACCCTTCACACTGATTGGCTCTCTATTCATTTTTTCTGAGGTAAGTCTTTTTCTCCTCCTCCTACCATCATCAAGTGTAAAGCCAGCAAAGGAAGCCTTGGAGATGAGAAACACAGGGCAAGTCAGTTCCTAGCGTGCAATGTTTGAAACTGTGATTCTCGGGAAGTGATTTCTGTAGAACATGCAGAAGGCGCAGCCATGCTCTCTGTTAGTAGAAAGTCCTGACCTGGTTCACGAAGCCCAAAGGCAACTCCAGACTAGTAGCATTTCACAGTCTTTATTTCTATGAACCCTACTATGAGTCAAAAAGAAAGCCCCTCTTCTGTTCATAGTAGGGTGTATTGCGTGAAAAGGAGCACACAACAGCCAGGTTGCATGTATTGATCTGGAGTCTAGCCTATGGGGAGACCGAGATACATGAGATTTATCCAGTTTGTGGGTGTTGGTAACAACAGTATAACTGAGTAATATAGCTTACGGAGCAGAGAGAAGCTCAACTAAAAAGAGAGCCAAGACTTGACCTTGAACTCCAAACTTTAGAGGTTTGGAGAGAGGAAGTGTGAACAGGAGCTAGAGAAATGGCTGACTAGAGAATGTCACACATCCCCGCGCCCTCGCTCTGCCCCAGTAGCAAAGTGTCAGCTTCCAGGAGTGAAATAGGAATGTTTCTCCATGTAAAGACTGACTTTACAGTAGCCACCGACTGCTACTGAACAGTCACACTGGGAAAAGACCATTCCGTCTAAGGACGTGAAGGTCACTGGTGACATCAGCAGTGTCCGTTTTGATGGAAGCATCCGCTTTACTAAGTGAGCCTGGTAGAGACTGTTAGGCGAGCAAGTGCTGGCAGCGTCTATTGGCAAGTATACCTGTGCATTTTCTGTCAAGATAGCAGAAGTGATGAACAGGTGAATCAGAAAGATGGTCAATGTTTTTAATTCATTTTTTTCCTAAGAAGTCTCATACTGCGCTGATGTGAAATAGGAAATTCCTCATAGTAAGGGAGAGGAACATTATCCAGGGAGTAAACTCTGAAAAGCCGGGTGAAAACCATCAGCATGCACGTACAAGAGGAGAGGTTGCTGTCGACAGTTATTACCTGTGTGTGACACGTGCGAGGCAGGATTAGCATTTTTGATACCAGAAGAAAATACGTGAGTCTGGTGATATTCTGCTTGTGATCTTACAAATAAAGCTCACAGAGAGGGTTAGCTTCAGAAAGACTTGCCGGTGTCTTCAGGGCCCTGCCTGCACCACCCACAATCTTGCTCACTCACCAGGGTTGCAGAGAACAATACCCTGCCTCCTGGCCTGGGGACGAGCTCAAGTTCATGGAAACACTGAGGAACAAGGACAAACTACCATGGTTAGAAACAGACTCCGCCCAGTACCCAGGTTACACGGGTTCATTGCAGGTTACACGGGTTCATTGCAGGTTACACGGGTTCATTGCAGGTTACACGGGTTCACTGCAGAAAGGATGAATGATGAACGGGAGTCTTCATGCCAATATGCCTTCTCCTTTTGCAGATTTCTTATGACTCTATGGATTACTTAGAAGCCTCCGAATCTCAAGTCATGTTTCTGGCATTGCTCATAGTAAGATGGCATTTCCTTTCTAACGGTTTTGCACTAGGAGACACACTTGTACATTTTTTTTATTCCTTTCTCTGTATTTATCCTCTGCCTGTTACAGTGTGCATCTTGATCTCATCCATTTCCCAGTCCCTTTGCACCTGCCCTCTGCCTCCCCCAATATAAAACAAAATTTAAGTGAGAAAAAAAGGGGTGATTAGAAATCTCATCATGGAAGTTTCAGTGGGACATATTGAGTGATGTAGCAAACCCCTTTATCCATGTATCTTTACTTGCAAGTATTCATTGCAAAGAGTCATTGGTCTGGTTGGAGCCCTCTGGTTTCTATGACGCTGTTGATGCTGGGTCCTCACTAGGACTCAGCAGCTGCCCAGGCCCAGAACCAGAGTTATGACTTGGCATGTCCCAACATCCACCCCATTTGCAACCTGCTGAAGCACATGCAGGAGCTTGACTTGCAGACCGAACCTTCAGGACCTCCACAACGCAGGACAGCAACAGGACATTTGTACATTTTTTAATGTTTCTTTGAGTTTGAGCAAATTAAAAATTGTGTGAAAATGTGGGGCATAAGAAGTAACACCACACACACACATACACACTAACATGACAGTGATCATTTGATGACAACTCTGAACAGCATTAGCAGGACTTGTATTAACTCATTACTACTATGTTGGCATTTTATATTTATTTATTTATCTATTTACTTGGGGGAGGGTGCATGCTATGGCGTGCATGCAGAAGTCAGAGAATACCTTGTGGGAGTCATTTTCCCCTTCCACCATGTGGGTCCTGGGTACTTTGTTCATCAGCCTTGGCGACAAGCATCTTTATCAACTGCACTTTCTCCCTGGCCTGCTATTATTATGTTCATACTATTCTTTCTTTGAGTAACAGAAGCGCTAACTTTGGCAGCTTCAGACGATATCAAATAGATTGTATTCAGGTTTGTGAGAATGTTACCAAATGCCATTTTATAGATGATCATCAGTCTCGTTAAATTAACTCCCATATGAAAGCAATTGGTTTTATTATGATGAAGCTAATTTTGTCTTTCTTTCTCTGTCCCTAGCCTTACTTCCATTTTCTCCTTTTCTTTTTTGTTCTGCGCTGTCTGGAAAGGTACTCCAGGAAGAAATCGCTGAGAATGGACCCTGTGTTCAGGTTGAAAGCATTCAAATAGAATTTTATGTTTCATTTAATCTTCATTCTTTAGACATTTTAACATGCCTAAATTAATTAATCAAGGTGGGAGGGAACAACCCATGATTGTATTTTAAGGACCTGAGTTATAGGCAAAATTATTATAATTTGTGATCTTGCAGTCTACTGGGAAACCTGACATTAGCATACACAAGACCCTGACACATGAGAAAAAAATGGAAATTTCACTGGTACACTGAAGTCATATACAAGAGGTGGTATCTTTAAAAGAATGGACAAATACAAATAAACAATTGGATACATGTTGACGTCCAAGAAGGAAATACACTGAGCAATAAGACCATGGTTAAGAGGCAGGATGCACGCCCTTTCCCCCCACAGACTTGAGGAGAGAATTGGGGCACATTTATGTGTTGGAGGATAGCAGGAAATAAAAGTGAAGCTGGATATTGGAAGACACTGAAATAGGGAAGTATGGGAAAAGTATCGAAAACTGCTGAATGTGAGTGCATTTTGCACACTTAGTTACTATTCTGTTTCTTTTAAGAGACACCATAACTTAGGCAACTCTTAGAAGAGAAAGCACCTGCTTGGAGGCTCACTTACAGGTTTAGAGGGTTAGTACATGATTAACATGGTGGGAAGCATCTGGGCGTGGCGCTGGGGCACTAATTGAGAAATTTACATCCTGATGCACAGGCAGCAGGCAGAGACATAGAGAGGGAGACTGCACTTGGCTTGGGTTTTTGAGACCTCAAAGCCTACCCCTAGTGACACACCTACTCCAGCTAGACCACGCTCCCTAGTCCTTCCAAAACAGTTTCACTATCTGATGACTAAGCATTCAAGGATCTAGGCCTATACAGAGCATTCTCATTCAAGCCACACACCTAGCTTTTCCTATAAAATAAAAATCAAACTCAAACCCACATTTGATTAAAAATTAAAAAAAAGAGTGTCCAGATGACAACATGTTTTAGGGAAACCAACCAAGCATAGAAATTAAGGTGACCTGAGGGAGAGAAAATCAGCCGACTCTGTTATGGTTGATTAAAGGTCTTGTTAGACAGCAGCAGGAAGGTCTGACTGACACATTCTTAAGGGACAGCACACCAGGTATCTGAATGGACATGGGATGCTGATGAGACATCCTGGACTGACTAGGATATGTTCCTAATTTCAAGGGCTCTCTGGTCCTTCGTTGTTATTAAACTTGAAAGTCATAAAATATACCCCAACTTCATTCTAGAGATTTCTTTCCTCAAGGAAAGATGCCTTCACATTCCTGACTGTGGGAGTGTGCTGCTTTGCAAGTTGAAGGGGAAAAAATGTCATCAATGATTATGAGAACTATATTTATGGAACTAGCAAGAATGGATAGGAGCAGAATCATTTGGCTCGTTGGTAGAAAGAATGAAGGTATTTGAAAAGTCCTCATTCGAGTAGAAAACTGGAGTCCAGTCCATCAATTTCAACAACTGATAAGTTTAACCTGCTGTCTGGGTTTTAGAATTTCCCCAAGAAGCTGTCATGCTTTCCCAAACCCGGAAGAGCCCGGAGAAGAAGATGAAGATGTTCAGAAGGAAAGAACGAGAACAGCAGATGCTGTGACTGCGCTACAGATGAACGAGGTGGTGCTCATAAAAACATTCTTCCTTTCTTCCACAACAATTCTGCCAGCTTGGCGAGAAACATTCCAATCTTAATTCTCTTAAAAGTCTGGTGGGGGAGGAGGGCTCTTCCGCTCTTACAGTTCATTATGTGATGTCAGAAGGTATGTAGTGCCCATGATCCATGAAAACAGAGGGAACACACACGCACACACCAATTTATTAATTTATTTTTCAGAGTCACAGTTTGATACATACAGTCAAACATTAGAAAATTGAAGATCTTAATGACTTTCTTTGAAAGAACTGTTTTGTATTTTATGTGTACATATATTGCCTGAGTGTATGTACGAACATCATTTTACATAGATGCCCACAAATTCTAGTAGCCAAATCAGGGCATCAGAGTCCCCTAGAACTGGAGTTACAGGCAGTTCCGAGCCGCCTAGTATGGGTACCAGAAACCAAACTCAAGTCCTCTACAAGTGCAGCAAGTGCTTTTAACCATTGAGCATCTCTCCAGCCCCAACTTTTATGAGTTTTATAAGCCAAGTTAAGCTAGTTGCAAACAGTTCAGAAGAGAGTTCCCCTGTGCCTGCATCTGTGTCTGTGTGTGCTTGTATTTATGTGTGTGTGCCTGTTTCTCTGTGTATCTGTGCGCCTGTTTCTCTCTGTGTGAGAATGTTTGTGTATGTATGTATGTGCCTGTTTATGTGTGTGTGTTATGTCTCTGTGTGTGCCTGTTTCTGTGTGTTTGTGTGTATTTATGTGTGTGTGCCTGTTTCTCTCTGTGTGTGTATGTGCGTGTGTTAACTCACTGGTTATGTGAGGGGCCTCATTCCAATTCTCTGTAGAATAGCAAACACAAATCACACACAGCACTGCAAATCAAATGCCCACAGAGGAACTTGGCAGAGTTCACTTGAAAACAACAGCTTCTGTCAGAAGTGGTTTCACTCACGAGTCTATGCAAGGAAAGTCCCTGTGAAGGGGTGTAAAGAAGTCTCTTGGTGGCAAATGAGAAGACTACTGCACTGATGTTCACCTCTCTCTACAGAAGCCAGTCATCATTGCTAGCTGTCTACGGAAGGAGTATGCAGGCAAAAAGAAAAAATGCTTCTCCAAAACAAAGAAAAAGATCGCCACAAGGAACATCTCCTTCTGTGTTAAAAAAGGTTGGAAACCACAGTTCTGTCCTTAGAGCTGCTGTGGGCACTGAAGCCTGGGATTTTCTAAGGGGCGACGAGTGTGAGACTGGAATCCTCTGTTGGTGAACACGGAAAGGCAGCTGGCTCACCAGGAGTTATTATAACTGTTTTAGTAATAATGGGTTTCCTTTGCAAAGAGAGGGTTACAGCCTTTCTCTTTAAAACCCACCGCAAGAGGTCAAAGGGATAGTATAGATTTAATTTAATTATTAAGTATTTCAAATTTTTTTTTTTAAGTATTGAGGACAAAGCCATGGCCTCATGAATTCTAGTAGGCAAGCATTCTACCAGTGAGATACATTCTAAGTCTTGGCATAGGGATAAATTGAAATCTTTCATAATAGATAGGACTGAGTCACAGTAGTTCATATTTCATTCTTAACAAATAGTTTATGATAACTAGGCATAGCAATTTATGCCTATAACGCCAGAACTTGGGAGTCTAAAGCAAGAATATTGTAACAAGTTCAAGGCCACTCAAATATACATGAGTTCCAGGGTCATAAGAACTGCATAGAAAGAACCTATCTGAAGAAAAAAAATAGTGTTTGCCGTAGACATAGCTGCAGCAAGTGCTCTTTGAAATTCCAACTTGGTCTCCTAGTAACTTAGCTTACGCAAGCTATCTGTATTCTTTAAGACTCAGATATCTCCCCTGTAAGATGAAACTAGTAATGACATCGTGTGTGTGTGTGTGTGTGTGTGTGTGTGTAAGAGAGAGAGAGAGAGAGCATAGTACATTTTGTATAGTACCTCTCTACAGAAAGAGTTCACAAGTGTATTGAGTTTTATTTTGTGAAATTATTTGCCTGTTCTTGAGTATTCCCGTTTCTTTCAGGTGAAGTTCTAGGGCTCTTAGGACACAATGGAGCTGGTAAAAGTACAACGATTAGTATGATAACTGGAGACACAAACCCAACTGCAGGGCAGGTCAGTAATACACAAGGAAATATGTTCCATAATGTTGAGTAGAAAAAGCATTTTGCAGTGATTATTCATGGCAACCTAAAAATACATAGTTTATCCTCAATCAATTATAGTGATATGCATAAGATGATTAATTAAATTCTTTCTACTTGATGCAAAAAGTAATTTTTAAAAAGGGCTAATCTTATCAGTACAGTGCCCTTGAGTAGAGAATATTAATGAAAATACTTTACATACATTATAAACATACATACACACACTCAAGAATATCTTCATGAAAACATCATTGCTTTTTTTTTTTTTCGAGACAGGTTTTCTCTGTGGGTTTTTTTTTTTTTTTTTGAGCCTGTCCTGGAACTCGCTCTTGTAGACCAGGCTGGTCTCGAACTCACAAAGATCCGCCTGCCTCTGCCTCCCAAGTGCTGGGATTAAAGGTGTGCGCCACCACCGCCCGGCTCATTGCTTTGTTATTTATCCCAAGAACTGGGTAAACTGAGTTTTCTCACCCAGCATTATACTAAAGACCTCTGTTAAAACCCAAACAAGCCTTGGTAATGTGGTAACAGACAAGAAGCCCCATATTTAATAACTATTCTCTGCTTCCTTGCTGTAATTAAAGGCTACTTGCCACGTGTGTAGCCAGAGGCCACGGGTGTCTGCGCAAAGAAGACAGTCAGCAACACTTTCTGGTCATAACTGAGATAAATCTGCCAGAGGGTGGATGATGTCTCTAGTGGCAGAGATGCTGGCAGTGTGAGATGCTCCTGGAGTTGTACTGATGTTCTCAAAGTGCCACCCTGGAGCTGTGCAGGAAACCTCGTTTCCTAAGATGACAACCTTTAGAGACAAGCAACCCAATTGTCCACACTCTCGTATAAAATCCTAGATTGTGTATAAGTTGCACATTTCTAGGCCATATGAGATAAATGATGGACAGAAATCAGAGTCATGACTTCAGAGGAACATGCTGTTGCCATGTGATCTGACTACTAAAGCTATTTCATGAACCGGCCTTTTGTTTTCACTCTTGCCTGATGCAGTTCTTTAAAAATGCAAACAAAAGCATGTCACTCTCCTGATTACCACAGTGGTCCATACTCTACCATGGCTGCAGACGGCTTAGCACAGTGTGGGCTGTGCCAATACAAACTCTTACCGTAGTGGTCTAATTTCTATCATGGCTGCAGATAGCTTAACACAGTGTGGGCTATGCCAACTGCCTTTCTCTCTTTCTGCCTCTTGGATTGGCCCTGGCTCTTCACACTGTAGGGTGTGCAGATTTGAGTTCCTAGTGGACAGAGCAATCTCCAGAAGCTTGGCTATCCCCTTCCTATCGCTCTAAGTCTCACTTGCTCAAAGAGCCTTTGAGTGCCTAAATTATTCACTTTATGAATTTGTATGTTAGATGCATGTATTTTCACAAAAGCATTAAGTGGAGGCTGTCATCACCTCACATATGTTTCAACTTATTTATTTTCTGGTTTCTCTCTAGAATTAAAGGTCTTCAAAGCCAAGTTAACTTGTTTCTTTTCCTCTTTTGTACCAGAGAGAGATAGTAACAGAGAATCAAGGTCAAGGCCTTAGGTTCTAAAAGTTGATCCTAGTTTCATTCCCCAAGTTTACCTTCTGTGACCCTTGTGCAAACTTCTTAACACTGGGATGCACTAGGTTCGCATATCTAATAGGGATACAGCTAACTCTAGGAACTTTTGAGGATAACGTAACTTAAGATTTATTAAATTCCTAGGTTCCAATACATAGGGTCACTAAGTACACACCAGCTATAATGCACAGCACAGTGCTGGTCTCATCAGAATGATAAATATCACCATTGTATTGGTTCTTAAGTAGTAGATACATTGCTAAGGGATTTTTTCTCTATTAGTTGCTTCAGGATTGCTCGACTTTAGAACTAATGGCATAGTGGATGGAATAAATGTTGGGTATAGAGTATTTATAAGCAACTATGGGGATGGCAACTCGATGCCAGTAATACCCTTCCCAGTACAGAAATGAACACAGTTGTGACAAGTAACCCTCTGTGTCTCTAGATAGTATGATATGTCCCCTGAGAAGAGGACTGCTCTTCACTGAAAAACTCTGCCCTACTGGGGAACAGAACACTTACCACGTATCCATTGTTGTGAACACTTGGATCAGTGAAAGGACCCAAGTAATAAGTCACTAAATAAACAATCTTAACTTTAACTATGGTGATGGATTTTGTCATAAAGTCTAAACTATGGTACTAAGATATAATAGTGTGGAATATTTGCCTTTAAATTATTGAGAGATTCATAACTTCCCCAGAACTAAAAGATTACTCAACTCTTGTTGGAGGAGGCCTTTTGTTTGTTCCTGACTGCTCAGCTCCAAAATAATCACACAAAAACTGTATTAATTAAATCACTGCTTGGCCTGTTAGCTCTACGTTCTTACTTGCTAACTCTTACATCTTAATTTAACCCATCTCCATTAATCTGTGCATCACCACGAGGTCATCGCCTACCAACAAAGTTTCAGCATGTCTGTCTCCAGCAGCTCCATGGCCTCTTCCTGACTCTGCCACCTTGCTCCCAGCATTCAGTTTATTTTTCCCCACCAAGCTAAGTTCTGCCCTATCAGGGGCTCAAGACAGTTTCTTTATTAACCAATGGTATTCACAGCATGCAGAGGGGAATCCCACATCAAACTCTAAACATTTAATGATTTTTGCATGAACTTCACACATGAGCTCTGTATGTACATCATTCCTGCCCCTTCCTCCACCTCTCCAACTTCTCCCATGTTCCAGCCCTACCTCTCAAACTCATGGTCTCTTCTTTAATTATCATTGCTTCATGTACATACACATATATATGTAATTAGATAGACAGATAGATAGATGTACATATAATAGCGTTGCTCACATGAATATGTGTCTAGACCTGACCACTTATGACCATTTAGGTTTAGACAAAGTATGCAGGAGCTCATCCCTGGAGAAAACTAATTCTTCCTGTTGAAGCAGTTGTATTTTTTACTGTTAAGCTCTTAGTACCCAGGTGCATGAAGAAAACATCATTTGGTATCATTTACATGCACGCACGTGCACGCACGCGTGCACACACACACAGTTGAATAGAACCTGAGAAAGGTTTTCTTCTGTGTAGGTATTTTTGAAAGGGTGCAGTGAAGGTACCACCCTCGGCTTCTTGGGGTACTGTCCTCAGGAGAACGTGCTGTGGCCCGTCCTGACAGTGAAGGAGCACCTGGAGGTGTACGCCGCCGTGAAAGGGCTGAAGAAAAAGGATGCCTCGGTCACTATTACACGGTGCGTGGAGAAGCCACACTCACTCCATGCATAGGAGGGTGGCATATTATTAATGGCGTTCACACAGAATTAAAGAGGGGGATTCTAGCTAGTGACCACATGTTTGCGGGAGACTTGCTCATCTCCAACTACGGTGTGAACTGGGAATCCAGTTCACTGTTGTTATTTTCTCTTACTTTAAGCCTAGAGAGAAAAGTTTACTGATTTTTTTTTTCATATGGAAAAGGATACTGGAGATAAGAACATGTTGAGTAAATGGGCTATAACATATCAGTATTAACCAGCTTCGGGTTATTGTAATGAAACCCATGGGTCTGGCTACATTTGAAGAAAAGAGATTTATCTATTTAACTCAATTTTGGAGGTGAAATTTTGAGATGTCAGCCTTCAATCTAGACTCTGGTGAGGGCCATATAGCAATGAGATCAGTACAGGATTGTTTATGAATGGGGGAGGATACAGTTAGACAGGAAACCAGAGGGAGCTAAGGATTCTCTAGTCCTTCTGAAACCAGAGCCCTGTTGTTCTAGGGTTTCCCTCTTCTCTATAGCTTTTAAGGGTCCACACTGTTCCCTAACATTACCCACTAAAAATAAGTGCGTGAACCCTTCGTGAGAAAACTGTAGCTAAACAGTAGTAGTAACCCGAGGGGTATCAAAGTTGTGACCAACTCCAGTGACTTTTAAATATTTTACTACTATAGTATTGTTTATGTTTGCGTGCTACATTTCTTCCTGCTCACGCCTAATGAAGAGTGACTCATTGTTTTTCTTAGACTGGCGAATGCCCTCAAACTGCAGGACCAGCTGAAGGCTCCAGTAAAGACCCTATCAGAGGGAGTGAAGAGAAAGGTAGGTACAGGGAGGGCTCAGTAGCCCAGTCTGCAGGCTGATGACAGACAGGCTGTCCTACTGCAGCCCCAAAGAGCCAGCTTCTGGGCTGCAAGCAGGGCTCAGAGGAAAACCCCACACAGTCGCCAATTTAGGGGTTTCAGAGTGAAGAAGGGGTCAAGCGTACACTTTTTGTTGATGGCAACACTCCTTAGTTTCTCATGATGGATTCTGCCAGTTTCTGCCATATTGAATTCTGTCAGTGTCTCTTAATTTCTGCCCTCTCACTTTGTTCTACACAGCTTAGAAAGACCCACAAAAATCTTGCAGGCATGGCATCTGAAGGTCACCTACTGTTTCTTAGGTAAATGATCAGAAACAGAGTCCTCTTGATAGTCTTGAGCAATAAATCCAGATCAATTATCACATGACGAAGAGTAGCCCTTGTGTTCGGTTAACTAATTAGTGGCCTGCAAACTGTGGCTACAGAAGGAGGAGGCTTTCTGTCGTCTAAGCCATAGAGGTAGCCCTGTAAAACAAAAACTGCTAAGGAGGCTAAAAGATATAGGGAAATTGTGTGCTATATCCTATTCTTCTGAGTGTATAAAACATCTTAAACATTTTGTGGTTAGCGATCACAATGGCCAGACTTTCACTGTTTACAAATGTGTCCTCAGAGAAAGTGTAGCAGCGCAAGCTGCAGGGGGAAGGGGTGAGGGCACCGCAGAGGATCCCACTCAGAACTCTCTGAGGCCCATTGTCATTAAAAGCATTTTAAAACTTAAGATAGATTTTTCTGTCCTGCATGTAACCCTTGACTATAAAAGAAAGAGACTTGCAACTCTTTCTTGGGGCTGTGAAGTTAGTTTCTATTTTGTAGCTAGCCCTGGCCAGTCAGGGAATCTTATCCCGTGGTGTCTGAACAAAGACCATAACACTGAGGTTAGGAATCCATGCGAAGAGTTAATTAAAATCCCTGGGCCACAATTAGGTTACTTTGCACTGTTTACCTTGGCTCAACAAATCACACAGCTGGCTACATATCCTTGTAAATAAGCTTGTATTTTTCTGGGAATAGTTTACCTTAAACTCCATTAGCCGGACCCCCAATCTGATCGGAGGCTATTTTGAAATTTTTTTTGGTTCAGTTTTTTTTATTTTTATTTTTTTTTAATTGAGAAAAGGAAAAAAAAAGTTTCCGCCTCCTCCCAGCCTCCCATTTCCCTCCCCCTCCTCCCACCCTTCTCCCTCTTCCCCCACTCCTCTCCCCCTCCCTCTCCAGTCCAAAGAGCAGTCAGGGTTCCCTGCCCTGTGGAAAGTCCAAGGTCCTCCCCCCTCCGTCCATGTCTAGGAAGGAGAACATCCAAAC